AGGGGCTCAGTAGGAGTATTGTGTTTCTCTCTTGATTTCTGCAGAGGCTGGCTTTAGCTGAAAAATCAATGATGAACTCATGCTTGAAGATAAAATTAGTCAGCAGGCGTCCTTGACTCTGACAGTAGGCAGAGCTCAGTCATTCTTCTCTGACTCGAAACATGTTAAAGCTTTATGCAAATTGATTGAATCACACTCAGGAATCTGACAGGGTGCCATCAGATTATAAAACAACCAAAGAGACATTGCAAAAGAGCAGTACATTGGCAGTTATGTCGAAAATTTTCTGCACCTGTTTTACACGATACTGGGGGGGGGAAATCGTATCATGATTCATCTTTTGCATAATTCTGATATTTATCTAGCTTTAAAATATTGTGTGTGCAGTTTGTGCTGCCACATTAGCTGGGTTTGCATGTAATGATTTGAATTCACAGCTGATTAAACTTCCTTTATTAATTTGTGAATTAAGCTCTGTTCCCATTCTATGTATTCAAAAGGTTAAAATTGTCAATTTCTAGAAAGCAAATGATCAACAATACATATGGAAGTGCAATGGACTGCAATATCTAACACTGTCATATTATACAGAGGGGATTAGGGCAATTTTTCTATATGCATTTCCATTGTGCTTTATTCACGTTTAAGATTTTGTGCATCTTAGTGTTTAAACCCACTAAAGGTGTTTTTGTAAAAATCTATTAATAAACACCTACAGTTAAAGTCAGATTTATTAGCCCCCTGAATTTTTGTGACTTAATTCTGTCCTATAGTCTGTTATAATTTTAAATGAAAGTGCCTGTAGAATGTGATTTATGGGAGTTTTTATTTAATTATTTGCTTTAGAATAGCATTAACAGACCATGGTGGGGGAAAAAGCATTTTTAATATCCCAAACTGTGCACTGTGGTGCAGTGGGTAGCATGATTGCCTCACAGCATGAAGGTCGCTGATTCGAGGCCTGGCTGGGTCAGTTGGTGTTTCTGTGTGGAGTTTGCATGTTCTCCCCATGTTTGTGTGGGTTTCCTCCGGGTGCTCTGGTTTCCCCCATAGTCCAAAGACATGCGCTATAGGTGAATTGAATAAGCTAAATTGTCTGTAGTGTATGAGTGTGAATGCAAGAGTGTATGGGTGTTTCCCAGTGTTGGGTTGCGGCTGGAAGGGCATCTGCTATGTAAAACATATGCTGGATAAGTTGGCGGTTCATTCCACTGTGCCGACCCCTGATGAATAAAGGGACTAAGAGAAAAAGAAAATAAATGAATGAGTCCCAGACTGCACAAAGCAATATGAGAATGTGAATGTTTGTGTCTGTATATACTAGATCTAAAACAACATTTCTCAGGCATATCCAGAGGCATCATTAAATTATTAAAAATTATCTGAATAAGAATAATTATATTAACTAAATGTATTCATTATATAACAACTTTTTATATATATTGCAACAGAAAAACAAGAATTTACTTTTTTAAAATATAAATATGCATAAAAAGTAATAATAATTATTATTATTATTATTTTATTATAATATTATTATTATTATTATTATTATTATTTATTATTATTTACAACAAAAATGTGGGTTGTGACTTCTGTTTAGGTGAGCGTTTGTGTGTGATTACATTAGTGGCCCAGCCGGACCCGCAGCACGGAGCCGCTCATCTGCTGCAGTCAGCAGCCATTAGCCCTTCACTGTTGAGACTCCTCTGTTACCTCCATAATGCAATTACACAGTGGAGAGTGCAATTTCATGAGCCAGGCTACTGATGGATAGAGCGATGGATGCCTAGAGAAAGCCAGAGAAATTAAATGACAGAGGAATCAAGGCCTCATATTTGTTGCTGCTTTTTCGCTTGATTGTGTTTTTTTCTGTAGTTGTGTGTGTGTGTGTGTGTGCATGTGTGTGCATGTGTGTGTGTGTGTACGCGTGTGTGCGTGCGTGTGTGTGTGCATGTGTGTGTGTGTGTGTGTGAGTGTGAGTGTGTGTGAGTGAAGCGTTAAGTTGTGGTTTTGTGCCCGAGCATGGGTGATTAGATCTATGCAGGTGTTCCTTTCTGCTTTTTTCCATATGCTGCCATTTAAAGCTGCAGTTCAGGTTTTGACGGTTTTGGTGACAGTCTGAAGTCTGCTGAGAATAGCTTTCCATAAAGTGTGTTCTGTTGATTCATTTGGTTGCTCCAAAACACTTTCCGTCTCTTTGTCTTGTTTTTTAACAGTTTCTTTATCTAACCTCTCTAAGCAGTTTTTCTCAAATATAAATTCAGCATTGATTTCATTTTTTTTTTTTGCCTTGCATTTTTTTTATTAATCCCACAAATCATTTACTTACATTTGTTTTTATCTGATTATTGTAGTAGTAGTTTTAAGTCATCAGCAGAATTTTAGCACCCACACTCACCCTCTCTCTCTCTCTCTCTCTCCCTCTCTCTCTCTCTCTCTCTCTCTCTCACACACACATGCACAAACACACACACATGTGAGTGTACGTTTGTTTACATGCATGTAGTTTTATTTTACCTTTTTTAAATAAAAAAATGTCATTAATATTTAAACTTACAAAAATGTTTTAGTTATTTAAACCTCATCATTAAACCTTAACTATTTCTTTTAAGTACAGTTGAAATCAGAATTATTAAACACCCTTTTATTTATTTATTTTATTTTATATATTTGCTAAAGGATGTTTAACAGAGCAAATTTTCACAGTACGTTTGATAATATTTTTTGTTTTATTTCGGCTAAAATAAAAGCTTAATTAATTATTTAATTGTTTAAAAACATTTTAAGGTCAAAATTATTAGCCCCTTTAAGCTATATAGTTTTTCAAAAGTCTACAGAACAAACCATCATTATACAATAACTTCCCCTTTACTCTAACCTGCCTAGTTAATCTAAGTAACCTAGTTAGGCCTTTAAATGTCACTTTAAGCTGTATAAGAAGTGAAAAATATCTAGTCAAATATTATTTACTGTCATCATGGCAAAGAGAAAATGAATCAGTTATTAGTGATGAGTTCTAAACTATTATGTTTAGAAATGTGTTGAAAAAATCTTCACTCTGTTAAACAGAAATTGGGATAAAAAATAAACAGGCTAATAATTCAGAGGGTTTAATAATTCTGACTTCAACTGTACTTCATATTGTTAAAAATGTAACTGAAACGGACACATTTCAAAAGATCATGGGATTATAGTAAATAAAATTCGAAAAAGTTCGACACTATAAGGTCAAATCTTGATCGAAGTGTTATGCCATTGGAATGCTGTCTGTATGTATGTATATATCTACAGTGCTCAGCATAACTGAGTACACCCTATTTTGTAATTTAATATTTTTATCCATTTCTCAGTGAATATAAGTAATCTCTTTTGGTGCGTTTAAACAAAACTGATGTATTAAACAGATACATTTATTAAATTAATATTTTAGTCACTAAACATATTTAGAAATTGAAAGATAATACAATTAAATTCGAGCAAAATATTGCAAAACAAATTTCAGTCTACAAAATTTCAACTATTTTTTTATTTCAAAAATAGTTGAATTTTTTTATATATATATATTTTATTATATTTTTTGCTTCTTTTGATTTTTTTGTATTTAATATTTTTATATAGCATATAAATTTGGATGTACTAGGGTTTGGACTGTTATTCTAAGTTATTTTGTTTGATAAGCTACAGATTTGGTTGCGGTACTGACTAATCAAATGTACAATTGAAATCAGAATTTTTAGCCCCCCTGAATTATTTGCCCTCCTGCTTATTTTTTCCCCCAATTTCTGTTTAACAGAGAGAAGATTTAGAACACAACTCTAAACAATTTTAATAACTCATCTCTAATAACTGTTTTATTTTATTGCCATGAAGACAGTACATAATATTTTACCAGATATTTTTCAAGACACTTCTATTCAGCTTTTAAAGGCTTAACTAGGTTTGTTAAGTTAACTAGGCAGGTTAGGGTAATTAGACAAGTTATTGTATAATGATGGTTTGTTCTGTTGACTATCAAAAAAATATAGCTTAAAGGGGCTAACAATTTTAACCTTAAAATGGTTTTAAAAAATTTAAACTGCTTTTCATTCAAAAAATAAGAAGCAAATAAAACTTTCTCCAGAAGAAAAAAATATCATCAGACATACTGTGACAATTTCCTTGCTCTGTTACTCATTATTTGAGAAATATTTAAAAAAGAAAAAAATCAATGGGGGCTAATAATTCTGACTTCAACTGTATATCGCTCAAACATTCAAATGTAATTTTTATGTTTGCTTTAAATGTATAAAACCATTAACTAGACAGTGATTTCACTTTATGTATTTATAATTCTCAGCTTCACTTCATATATTTAACTATATATTATGTACTTCAGCATTTACCTTGTTTAACATGTCAGTTTTCAATGTCATCCTCCTAACAGTTATCTGTCGATTTTTCGATTGTTTACTCTTGGTAGGTTGGTATGATTAAAACTCCAGAGCTTAGTGCACATTAAACAAGTGAACCAATAACCTGAAAAGATGGCTCTCAGTCTGTTTTCAAATGATTTCTGATGTGCTACGGCTGAAATATGAATGACAATAGCATCAAAACTAACCAAAACAGGATATGATGTCACAAGATGTGACCATAAAAATGACAGAATTAAAAAAATAATAATTGAAAAGTAAACATGATGTTTGCCTATATTGGATATGCTTTATGTTGTTGCTCAAATATTCAAATGTAATTTTTATGTTTGCTATCAATGTATAAAATCATTAACTAGACAGTTATTTCACTTTATTTATTTATAATTCTTAGCTTCACCTCATATACAGTATTTACCTTATTATTATGTAACTCAGCATTTTCCCTGTTTAATATGTCAGTTTTCAACAACATCCTCCTAACTGTTGTCTGTCTTTTCCATCTTTTCCATTCTGTCTGTCATCCCTCATTTCCAAACCCCCTGCTCTTTCCCCGTTGCGACTCCATCTGTTTGTTCTGGGCAGGAGGAATGATGAGGTCACCCACATTAAAATCCAGAACTCGGGGGACTATTATGACCTGTACGGAGGGGAGAAGTTCGCCACGCTGGCTGAGCTGGTCCAGTATTACACCGAGCAGCACGACCTCCTGAGGGAACGCAATGGAGATGTTATTGAGCTCAAATACCCACTCAACTGCAAAGACCCCACATCTGAGAGGTACAGTCTTTCCAAATCTCTACCTAGACTTAATATTGAGTGGACAGAATAAATCCTGCCCCCTAGTGTTCAAACATCAGTGCAAAGGAAGAGCTGTGGTTTGTTTGGCAGAACTTGTTTGTGCTTATGTTAGGGGGGTGGGGGGCTAACAGTTTGTGTTTCTTCTTTCTGTTTTGACATTTATGTTTTTGAGGTCCAGAATCGTTTTTTGGGTCCAGTATACTTTATAACTTCCTTCACCTATGTAAATAATTACGTTTGATGTTTCTGTGGTGTGTATGGTGCAACATCCTGTAGGCTGTGAAATCTAAGTGTTTATAAATGGGTCAAAGATGCCTTTTAAACATCAAGGCAATAAACATGTCATTTAGATTTACATTTAGTTGTTGTTGTTGTTTAAACTTATTTACTTAGGACACCCATTGTCATGTACATTTAGAAAAATCATTTAAATATTAAAAGACTCAAATTCAAAATACTATTTAATTTTCTTTTGAAATTTTATAATACAGTAATATACTCCAATAGTGCTAATAATTTATATAATAATAATGTAATAATAATTTTGACCTTAAAATGTTTTTTAAAAAATTTTAAAAAACTGCTTTCATTCTAGCCGAAATAAAACAAATAAGACTTTCTCCAGAAGAAAAAATATTATCAGACATACTGTGAAAATTTCCTTGCTCTGTTAAACATCGTTTGGGAAATTCTAAAAAAAATAATAATAATAAAAAATCAACTGTATTAAAAAAAATTTATGTTTACTTATTGTTTAATATAGCATTGTTATTTTATTTTCACATAAATATATATTTTGCTGAATGACATTATTTAACCCATGTTTTGACCTTTTATTTTCACTAGTTATCTGAAACATTAAATCAGATCTTTTTGCTCTATTTTTCTTTCTGCAGACATTATAAATGGCTGTTTTGCCTTTGACACATACATGACATGGTGTAGGTGATAGACATATTTACATCTAAAGATTATATTCTATATGTATGTTTTTGTGGTTTTTTTAGTTTGTTAGCAAACACCTCCCACACATATCCTCATATCATAACAGCTCCAACTCTCTTTAGTTTTACAAGATCTCTACCGACACCTCTGCTTATTTTCCAACCGCAAACTAAATTTTATGCTATAGTCTTTATATAGTGAAAGTTGGAGTGTGCATTTAAAGTGACAATGTAAAAATATATTGGTGGTCAACATTTAAAAAGCAGGTGTTTTTGTGTGGGGGAGCAGTTATTAATATTCACATCATTTACAGGAATGTTTACATGTGGAACAGCAGGAAACATATACAGTATGCTGTATCTTCTTTTTTTTTGTGTGAGTGTTCACACTTGGTATATTTAAAGCCCCATTAATATTAGTTAGTGAATAAGTGTAATAACCACTGCTATCTAGAGCTTATTGCACATTAAACAAGTGAACCAATACCCTGAAAAGATGGCTCTTGTTTTCAAATAATTTCAGATGCACTACGGATGAAATATGAATGATAATGGGCCAAAGGCATCAAAACAAACCAAAAACAGGATATGATGTCTCAAGATGTGACCATAAAAATGACAGAATATGCAAGCATACAAGTTTTCTCATCATAATCCTGATTTTGCCCATTGCAGATCAATACAGTTTACAGAAACAAAAAGTGTTTTTGCAGCAAGTTTTCAGCTTCAGATGTTTGTGACTGACAAATTTCTGGGGGTATTTTGACTTAAAGTTTTTTTTTTTTTTTTTTTTTTTTGAGTTCACAACTGTTTAAAAAAAATATCACATACAGACTTTGTGTATGTTCTGCTGCAAAAAAACAAATTTTTTTATGTAGCTTTATGTTTGGTCCAAAAATGCTAAATGCTAAAAAAATGCTAACACAAAGCTAGCAAGAACTGTATATTTTTCCTACACTTTTTCTTTTGTCTAAATCAAACAAACCTACAAAATTGAGTTTCAAGTGTAAAAAATACAGTTGAAGTCAGAATTATTAGCCCCCCTTTGATTTTTTTCTTTTTAAAATATTTCCCAAATTATGTTTAACAGAGCACGGAAATTTTCACAGTTTCTTTTTTTTCAGCTAGAATAAAAGCAGTTTTTAATTTTTTAAACACCATTTTAGGGACAAAATTATTAGCCCCTTAAAGCTATATATTTATTTAATAGTCTAAAGAACAAACCATCATTATACAATGACTTGCCTAATTACCCTAACCTGCCTAGTTAACCTAACTAACATAGTTAAGCCTTTAAATGTCACTTTAAGCTGTATAGAAGTGTCTTGAAAAATATCTAGTCAAATATTTTTTTACTGTCATCATGGCAAAGATAAAATAAATCAGTTATTAGAAATGAGTTATTAAAACTATTATGTTTAGAAATGTGCTGAAAAAAAATCTTCTCTCCGTTACACAGAAATTGGGGGGAAAAAATAAACAGGGGGGCTAATAATTCTGACTTCAACTGTATGTATTTTCAGAAACAGGAGGCCCATTAATGAGAATTTCTGTGGTTTGTGTTTTGCCTGTTGTCAGGTGGTATCATGGACATCTCTCAGGAAGAGACGCTGAAAAGCTCCTTACAGAGAAGGGTAAATCCGGAAGCTTCCTGGTGAGAGAGAGTCAAAGTAAACCTGGGGACTTTGTGCTTTCTGTCCTCACTAATGAAGAAAAGCATGAAAATGTAGACCGCAAGACTAAAGTCACACATGTCATGATCCGTTATCAGGTAAAAACAGGGTAACATTTCACTATTTCCTTAAGGAAAAAAAAGAAGATTAAAATAAATGTCTATTTAAAAAAAAAAAATTTTTTTATGTCTTTTACCAGGATGGAAAATATGATGTAGGAGGAGGGGAGAGGTTTGACACCTTAGCAGATTTAGTAGAGCATTATAAGAAAAACCCCATGGTCGAGAAGAGTGGAATTGTTGTGCACCTTAAACAGGTGAGTAAATCAAACCAAGCCTGAAAGAAACACATTTTTCCTTCAGACAAGCAATTACAGTAGCTGCAAATGCAAAACAAGTGCCTTTCAAAGATCTGGGTCTGCAATTTATTATTATTTTTTAAAGAACCATTACTTATATTTATGCACTAAATTGACAAAGTGACCAAGAAATGTATAATTTTAAAAAATGTTTCTATATCAATCAATTTTATATTTAGTTTGAAATGAATCATGAAAAAAAGTTCACAAATTCTTCAAGAAAATATTCATTGTTTTCAACTTTGATAATATTAAGAAATGCAGTGGTGGAAAGAGTACTGAAAAAAAATCATACTTAGATAAATTAAAGTAGTGCAAGTAGATGTAGTGCAAGTAGAGATAAAGTATCTGTTGTAAATATTACTCTAAGTATGAGTAAAAAGTAGCCCTTTTAAAAGTACTCGAGTAGTGAGTACCATTTAATTTGTGGATGTGTGTAAACGTAATATTCTGTAGTGCATTTAGTTATTGCCCAGCAGGCACAGAACGTCATAAGACGTTAATATTAGGTTAGATTTAGATTGTGACCTAAATTTAATGGTTAGCCAGCATCTAGGAACGTTATTTTGAAGTCCAAGGATGAATGACGTCAAATGACGTTGATATTTGATTGATTTTAGGGTTTAGGAAGTGAACAAAAACATTGAGCCAACAACTTAAAGGGGTGGTCCACTATGATATCATATTTTAAACTTTAGTTGATGTGTAATGTAGCTGTGTGAATATAAACAACATCTCTGAATGTAAAAAGTTCTCAATTTAATGCAAAGGGAGACCTTGATTTTTACGGAGTTAAGCCTACAATGAACAAATTTTGGGGACTACAAAAAATACTTCCACCCCCTGTGAGATCACAAAGGTTCGTTTACTGTGCATACAAACTGCGCAGGTAAGGCGCAAAAGCAGAAAATCTCCTCAAAGCAGAAGCTGTGAGCTACAACCTGTAAGTGTTTTTATTTGTTAAAATTGATCATGACATGTACAGTGTATAGCGTTAACGGTACGCTGTAGCAACGATGTAAACAATGCGAAATGCTGCTTTGCGGGCAAACGATTTAGCTACAAATTCATATTTATCAGTCAAACTGCTGTAAACACACACACACACTCCACCAGCACGTTCGTGACTCTTATGTGTGTGCGCGACTTTGCATTGATTGTCTTCAGGCAGTTTTTCCATGTTTTTCACATCTCAGATAATGAAGTCGCAAAAGATATGTAGATGATTCATATTACTTACACCTGCATATTCCGGATATATATGAAAGCCGTCTTGTAAAGCATAGAGTTAAAAAAATACAGGTTAGCTTACCTGACTCGTGGTAGCAGCAGAATAATAAATCAAGGCTCACACATCTTGTGCTTTATTCTTCTGTCACGATATATTATAGAAAATAACTTAATCCGAGCATCAGAGAAAAAGAAAAAAAAACTCCCGTGCACATGCGCTTGTTACAGAAAGTTCACACATTCACTCACACTCACACACACATAGACGCAGACAACATTCACTCACACACACACACACACACACATAGACACACACAAAGACAAGGTCTCTTTAAGGAGCTGCACCCAATTTTCACTCGTTACAGACACTTGTCAGATTTTATTTTAGTGAGCAGGCAGGTGGTTGAATGATTGTTTACACAGCAGAAAAGCGCATGCTTTCATGGGCGTGACGTGGAGCCAATCCGCGAATAGCAGCACATTATGACGATGACCAATCAGAGTCACTTAAGGGCAGGCCTTTCAGAGGAACTAGGAAATTTGACAGTCATTTTCATGTTAGCTGAGTAGCTGTGTATAATCAAAGTGAGATATATGAAAAAATAACGCGATTTCCTTCAAGTGAAACATGAGCACACATTGCTTTGCATCTTATAAACACAATTAAGCCTTAAAATTACATTCTGGACCACCCCTTAAAACTAGCTTCATATTGACGTCAAATACTGACATTTATTCATCAGGTATGGCAACCAAATCCAACATCTGATAGACGTCATAGTGGTAACGTCCACACAACGTCAAACTGTAACTGTCAGGGTTCTGCCACTTTGGTCTTGTAAATTCTTGTTTTGGTGGCAGAGCTCTGACACTTCTCATGTCGGGTCCTGTTTCTGTCTCTGTGTGAGCGCGCGCCGTCATGGGTGTACGTAGAGTGTGCGCGTTCCTGCTTGACGCGGCCGCGCGCGCGCTCTGCGTCACTCAGACGCGTGCGCTCTTGTACTCGTGTTTGTGTTTTCGTTTGTCAGCAGCGTGGTGTTTCATTCCCAGCGTCTCAGTCTTGTTGGTTTCGGTTTTGGTCGGCGCTGGGATGAAGCATGCACGCTGCGTGTGTGTGCGCGCACGGTGAGTGCTTTCATTCATCGTGTGCTCGTGTCTTGCGTCTTTTGTCAAAGCACGTGGCTCGGTGTTTACATTGTGGTCACGTGCTTTTGTCGTGTGCTTCAGTGTTGTGTTGTGTGAGCGCATGGCTTGTATTGTCTCTCTGTGTCATGCGCTCTCCCGTCTATTGTCTTGTCCCACCCACCTTGTTACCTTGTTTGTAATTATTATTTTCACCTGTCCGCCTGTCTGTTTATTGGTTTGTCTTTCCTATTTATTCTCCTAGTGTGCTCTGTTCCGTGCTGGTCCGTTATTGATTGTTCCCTTCTCTGTTGTATCTGCTGATTTCTAGTCTACAACAGTGGTTTAATGTATTGTCTTGTCAAGTTCCAGACCTTGTCTAGTTGAGTGTGTAATATGTTGTGTTTTTCCCCACATGGGGAGATTTGAGTTTTGTTTTTGTTTTATTTTTCATTAAACTCTTCATTCCCTGCATTTGGGTCCTCGCCTCCTCTTCATCACCCCCATACCGTGACAGTAACATCATTTGGCGTTGATATTTGGTTGATTTTTGGTTGTATGTTGGACATTGGCATCGGTCTGACTTTGAGTTCTGACGTCAACCCGATTTTCAATTCCAAACAAAATGTAACGTCTCCACGACGTTGGGGTACAACGTCAATCTAATGTCATTTTGACGTCTTGTGCCAGCTGGGTGTTTAAGGCTATTTCGATCATCATACAGTAAACATCTGTCATCTTCTCATCAGTGACATGCATCTAAACAGTCTCTGGGTCAATGCGTGTAAAGATTTTGGACATCTTCTTGGACCCTTTTGATGCTTGCAAACAGTTTGCTGCAATTATAAATCGCCCATGTCTTGAGGTAGTTTGTTATGATGCAATTTACCTTTTATGTGCGATTTGATTAGACAGGAATCACAGGACTGATTTTTCTAATCCACAGCAACAGGAAATAATAAAAAAGTGACTGCAGGTTGAAGGAATGTAGTGGAGTAAAAGTACTAATTACAGCCTTAATTAGAAACTAAAAATACCCAAACATACTGTAAATGCATACTGTATCGTTTTATATTATGAATCCTTAAGCATAGTGATATATATTCAGTTTTACAACAAAGTGTTTAACTTAAAGTGTGTTTTGCCTTACTTAATTTTTATTACTTAAATGCCACATTTTCATTTTTTAAAGTTACATTTTTTTAATTTTTGCTCTCTCTTCTTATCATATTCAAGCCATTCAATGCCACGAGGATAAATGCTGCAAACATTGAGAACAGGGTACACGAACTAAATAAAGTTGCCGACAACTCCGAGAAACCCAAGCAAGGCTTCTGGGAAGAATTTGAGGTATTTCTGGCCTTGTGCATTTGTCTGCTCATATTTTCTGTTACAGTCATGGGATGTGGTGATTCAGTCCAGGTTTTTGTTTGGGAATAGATTGGATTTTCCGCTGTTTGATATGAGAGTTGTTTATAGAAAGCCTCTCTGCTAGCTGACCTCTTAAACCGCAGTTCCTGTAGGGTGGAAGCTGTCCAGATAAACGGGACATTCCTGTAGGGGGTGCTGACATTCTCATTACACAGCAAAATTTGGATGTATGTGATTTTAAAGGGGGTAGTTCACCCAAAAAATGGAAATTACCTCATCATTTACTCTCCCTCATGTGGTTTTTAAACCTTTGTATGTTTCTGTTGAATATGAAAGAAGATATTCCAAAGAAAGCTGAAAACCAGTAACCATTGACTTCCATAGTTGGAAAACATTTACTATGAAAGTCAATGGGTTCAAGCTAACAGCATTTTTCAGAATATCTTCTTTTGGCAAGCTCACTCTTGTACACCCAAGTTACAGTGAAACCAAAAATGATTCAAGGACATTCTCACATTATCACAGTTTATTCCCTGTAGTTTAGTTTAAACTGTTTTAGAACTGACTAATTGCAATAATCAACTTAACTTTGGCTAAGATAACCATTACATAATGTTATTTTTACCAATCAACAAAAATTATTCAGGATAATGCATTTGTAGTCTGACAATATTTGCACAATTATCAAGTGTTTTTTCCACATTTTGACACAATGCCAGCCTGTAGTCTCTGCTTTCAGTCAGCTTCATGCAAATCTCAACTTCATTATTTTCTGCAGCAGTTTCGTAAGTTCATGTTGGTTTTTAGTCCACCTTATGAACAGTTTTGGGGTATAATATGTCACAGTTTACTTTATTTTAGGAACCTCAATTGTAAATGTTAATTTAACTATAGTTACATGCACCCACTAGTAAAAATAAATATAAAAATATTTATATGTTGCATGAATAATTTCTGGTTTTAATGTATAACTTAATCAAAAGATGTAAAATATAGGTATAACGTGAATATGTATTCACAATATTATCACAATAATAAAGCTTTACAAGCAGACTACTGTGTATTATTATTATTATTATTATTATTATTATTATTATTATTATTATTATTATTATGGTCTTCTTTTTATCATTAAGCAAAGAAAAAACTTTTGCAAAGTTAGGAACACACAGATAAGGAGGGTTACATAACTGAAATCGCATCATTTATTCATTCATTCATTTTCTTGTCGGCTTAGTCCCTTTATTAATCTGGGGTCGCCACAGCGGAATGAACTGCCAACTTATCCAGCACATTTTTATGCAGCGGATGCCCTTCCAGCCATCATACACACACACATTCATACACTATGGACAATTTAGCCTACCTAATTTACCTGTAAGATATAAGACTTACAACAAGCAATAAAATAATTAGACTTTCTTAAAAGAGTTGACATGCATATCAAAGTCTTTCCTGAAAATAAAAAGTAAAGGATTGTGTTTGAAACGTTGCATTTAATGGATGCAAAAAGCTATACAATTATAGTAAGAAGGGTCTAGATACAAAGAGTAACCAAAAAGTAATAATTTGGGGGCTGTATGTAAGTCTGGATATAAGTATTTGTCAACAAAATTGAAAAGTCAAGTGGTGCAGTAGGTAGTGCTGTCGCCTCACATCAAGAAGGTCGCTGGTTCAGCCTCGGCCGGGTCAGCCTCAGCCGGGTCAGTTGGCATTTCTGTATGGCTAATGTGTATGCTAATGTGTATGTATGTGTGCAAAAAAGTGTATGGGTTTCCCAGTAATGGGTTTCAGCTGGAAGGGCATCCACTGTGTAAAACATATACTGGATAAGTTGGCCGTTCATTCCGCTGTGGCAACTGCAGATTAATAAAGGGACTAAGCCAAAAAGAAAATGAATGAATGAATGAATGAATGAATGAATGAATGAATGAATGAATGAATGAATGAATGAATGAAGAATGAATAAATTGAAAAGTCAAGCCAAAACTTTGCAATACATGCACTTGCAAAATGAATTACTTAATGTTTCGACTGAATCTTCGACTGAAGATAAAAAAAGAACTTTTGTGGAAAATACTATTATTAAATAGCAAGTTTGTAATTTACCATTTAGCAATTCTGAATAATTTTAAAAGAGACTTCACCAACTTTATAAGATGAGAAGAATTTATGTGGAAGAAACCAAAACTTTTCCCATTCTACAGTGTGTCACAAATGATGATTTTTTTTTTAATTACACAAGTAAAAAGATATGAGATACCGGATGTCTTTGTTTGACTTGGAATTGAGAAGATTTTGGTCGACAAAAAAAGTTTGTGTTGTCAATATGAAAAATCTAAAGGAGCTTTAGGGCCAGGTATAATAAAGTCAGGCATTTCACTAAAAAAAATAAATACTTTTTAGTTAGGGGGACTAGAAAAGAAAATGTGTCCACAAATTGTTTAAATGAGAAAAGAGCACCACCATCATATATGAGTTGCATGATTTAAAATATATTTTATTTACATTTTACTTCTTTTGCAACTTTTGCAGAGCTGGTTTAAACCTAATTATATCACACACATTTATTGGATGAAACAGTTATTATCCATCAAACACTGTCATCTTTTCATTTATTTATGCTTTTGAATTGCATTATGGGACCTTGATCTTTCCTCCAACAGCATTTTATGTTAAAAAGTTGCTAGATCTCTATGTATTATTTATTATACAATATATTGTTTCAAACTGCTAAAATGTCAATAAAAGTCAATTTGATGAACTGCACAGTTGAATTTTTAATATCAAAGGTTCACGGGCGAAAGATAAAGGTCCCATAATGCAAATTCATAGTCGCAAATAAGCAGAGAACGCTTGTGAATTGCAAAATACAGAATCTGTTAATTAACAGACATTTTATAACTAAACATTAAATCTAAACATGGATCCACATTTCATCCTGACTGTCTTTTATTTTGTCTCCTGTGGTTCTGCAGGTTTTACAGCAACAAGAATGTAAACTCCTTTACCCCAGGAAAGAGGGGCAGAGACCAGAAAATAAAAACAAGAACAGATATAAGAATATACTACCATGTGAGTAACGTGCTGTATTTTTCTGGTTTCTTAATGGGAGAGGCATGTTTCATAATGCAACGGTTAATCTCCAGGGCTCTTGTTCATGCTTTGATCATCATTTTCTGGGTTGCAGTTGACACCACTCGAGTGCAGATCAAGGAAGCGGATCCTGATGTTCCCGGATCCGATTACATCAACGCTAACTATATCCGAGTAAGACCCCGCTTCGCTCGTAATGATTACACGTCAATCTGAATGTCAAGCTTTTGCTGGGTTGTTGAGCTGTGATCAATAAGTTTAGAGATTGCATGTTCTTTTTATCCTTATTGATTTTGTTCTTTTTTCATTTAGAGCGTGAATGAAGAAGGACGTCATATGGATGAAGGTAAAGTGTTCATCGCTACTCAGGGCTGCCTTCAGAACACAGTCCTGGACTTCTGGAAAATGGTTTATCAGGAAAATACACATGTTATTGTCATGACAACCAAGGAGATGGAGAGAGGACGGGTAAGGTCCAGGATGAAAATATTGTACATTCATTCATTCATTCATTCATTCATTCATTCATTCATTCGATCGTTCATTAATACATTTATATTTATATTATATTATATTATATTATATTATATTATATTATATTATATTATATTATATTATATTATATTATATTATTTTATATTATATTATATTATATTATATTATATTATATTATATTATTTTATTTTATTTTTTGTCATATTATGTTATATTGTTTGTCATGGGATACATAGAATATAAGAAAATAAACAATTTGTTATAAAAAAAAATATTTTTTATGCTCTTAATTATATTTCCTTAATTATTTGTGATAATAAAAGTAATTTATATTTTTGGGGGGAGAAATTCATTCAGAATTCATATCAGTTTTAAATACACTGACCATAAAACTGCTAAATGATGACAATCTTGATTCAATTACCCATACAATTATATATTCCAGCCACAATGATTTGGTTTTATTTATTAAACATCTGACGAGTGCAATCCCAGTTGGCATAAAATTATGAAACAGCGTCAGTCTTTGGTCTCTTCAACCTTATGGTATGATTATTAGTCAAATTATTGCAGAAGTATTGGGATTAAAGTTTTGATGTAACCACTATTGAATATTGCACAGCAAAATAGACATTCATATTTTTTAAAGTAACACTATTTTATAAATAATGTTTATCAATTACAGTGTTACGCCAAAAGGTGGTGATAAGTTACTATTAAAAATGCATTTGTCATTGACTTATTTATTCAAGAGAGTCATTCAAAAGGGCTGATTCATCCAGTAATGAAACAAGTGAGGTCTATATAAGCCAGTGATTAAATCAACCTTTCAAACCGATGGGAATTAATTAAATTAACATTGTGTCCAAATCTCTAGTATATTACATGTCATTTTGTTGAAGTCCACCAAAAAAATTAAGTTTCCTCCTTATTTACTCGTACTTAATTGATTATGAACTTTAATGAATTTCTTTTTTTCTGTTAAACACAAAGCAAGATATTATGAAGAATTTTGCAAAAAAGCAACCATTGACATCTATAGTAGGAACAAAAAACACTATGAAAGTCAATTGTTGTGTTTTCCAACATTTTTTATTATAGATTCTCTTGTGTTCATCAGAAAAATGGAGGATGACTAAATAATGGCAAAATTAAAATTTTGGGATCTATTTGGGAACTTTTTAACTTTTCCTTTAATTTGTCAATTCAGAATCGTGGATGAAACATGATTATTATTTTGAACAAAAATGTGATTCTTCTTATATACCAAAAATTTCTAATGCATAATTTGAGAAAATTGAGAATCCACTAATGTTGTATAGCTAAATAGACAACACAGATTTTTTTTTGGGAACTAAACATTGAACTTCTCCCTATAGAATAAATGTGTGCGGTACTGGCCAGACTTGAATTCAACAAAGGAGTTTGGGAAGGTGTGTGTGAAGAACATTGAGGAACACACAGCTCAGGACTACATACGGCGAGAGCTTGAAGTCACACGTCTAGACAGGGTAAGAGCAATGCGATGACAGATGACATGCTGCAGCCAGAGGCAGTTCATAACCTTTGACCTTGTTGTTTACAGTAGCAGCTTGGAGAGAATCTTCTCACTTACTTCAAACCTGTATTACTTTACATTACTAATCTAGGTTGGATGTAGTTTTTCTCATTTTGTAAATTATCATTTGATGTTTCTTTTTTTTTTTTTTTTGTAATTCACTCAGGACTTACTCATTCATATTCATTGAAAGGGGAAGAGAAACCTATTTGTGACCTGTGTACGAATATTTAGACCATAAAACATGTTTTAATAGAAGGTACTGTATATTTTCAAGTTATATTAGAGAACGTTTTTTTAAGGGAAACTTTTAAAAAGATGTCTCCTTTTTCTATTTTACCCTATTTATCATTGGTCAAAATGAAAGAACTCTCATGACTTTTAATCAGTGTGATATCTATATGTTTTTATATAATGCATGTTTGTTTAGAAACAGTTATGATTGTAAATTATAAACTTAATATTCAATTCCAATGTTGACATAGACATACTGCTGATATGGCATAAATAAATAAATAAATAAATACATACATACATATATACATACATATATACATACATACATACATACATACATACATACATACATACATACATACATACATACATGCATACATAAATACTTTTTGTAATTACAGAGAGAGCCTCCCAGGTGTATCTGGCACTATCAGTACCTGAGTTGGCCTGATCACGGTGTTCCAAATGAACCTGGAGGAGTGTTGAGCTTCCTGGAGCAAGTGAACCGAACCCAGAGCGCCATTCCAGAGAGCGGACCCATAGTGGTTCACTGCAGGTACTACACAGCTCACACGTTCTACTTAGATTTATTTAATTATTTTGCTAAATGTGGTCTTAAAGGCACAGTTCTCCCCCCTTCCCCCATAAAAAAATCCAATACTTATTCCCTGTGATGTCCTTCAAATGCTATATGCTATTTATGCTATTAGTTTCTTTTGCCAAACACAAAAAGAGAATTCTAATGAAAAGTCCATTCATTCATTTATTCATTTTCTGAAAACTCCATTCATTCATTTGCCTTAAAAATGTAGCTATTTTAAAAACCCATTAGTTTATTTAAAGGTCATACTCAAATAAACACTAGAATAGATGTTTTTTCTGATGTAATTAAATCTAAATTATGCTTCAAACATTTGATTTTAAAACACTATCAATGACTGAAAACCAAAAAATACAAAAAAAAAATCTTTAGATTCTTATTCACTCTGTCACTTCCGTCATTGGTATTTATTTTCAGCTGTCTGCTGCACTATATGTTCACCTTTGTGGTCGGTCTAGCCGGCGCAATAGCCACATTAGTAATAGCACATACTAGGAAGGTGGGTATCAGGGTTGCCAGGTTTTTGCAATAAAACCCAATGCCCATCCAAAATACCCCAAAACTAGCCTGATGGCCAATCAAAAATATCCCAATATCATAAGTCAAAACTTGCCATCGCCCATTTGTAAAATAAATGTTGTACAGGTACATCACTGTATGGATTATACATGGTTTCTTCTTTGAATATATCTCTATAATAATAATTTTATCAGAAAAATAAATCTCATGTGACTGCCGTGTGCCATCCAGTTCAAATGCATGCAAATGGCAATAACTCCAGAGGAAAGTGAACCACAAACTTAGAATTTAATGAATAAAAGAAAATTTAAATGGACTTTCTTCTGCAGAATACTTTCACAGTTATATTTAAGCAACAATCCTAAACAGTCCTGCCAATCTGCCAACCATAAAAGCAGCCTCTAGTGCCGCTGCACCTCACAAAAGTGTGCACACTCTGTTTCATCATCCTAGCAGTTTCATCATCTGTATCATCAGATGGTTGGATATTTTTCTGCTATACACATTATTCTGTGAAACCTTTGTGTCTTAGCTGCTATCACGTAACATGCCGTATAGGGTAATCACCTGGTTACTGATCTGCTGTGGGAATTTTCCAGGACAATGCAGGTCACAAGAGATATACATTCACTAATATTAGATTACATAAATATTGATTTAAATGAATTGAACTATTCAAGCCTGTTTTACAATGACATTAGATGTCGCTTTCAACAGGTACTGAACCTGCTCTGCTTGGAGTTATACAATGTGGTAAAATATAATGAAGTGACTATAACAGATCATATATGCAGTGACAGTTTCTTTGTTAGGCTAGACAAACTGGATTTAGTGCATATTGAACTTGTATTTCATGTTCGTTCAGGAAGCTTTGAACAGGACGTTTGGTTGGCAGTTGCTGCTGCTTACTTTTAATTCACACTGGTTGCTTTGGTTTGTCCATGCAGTCATCATCAGTGAGGAAAAAATCTCTCTATGAATATTATGGTTGGATATTTTTTCTCCTGTAACCTACACATGACAGTTACACATATGTATTTAAAAACTGAGCTAAATGTATTTATTTTATTTAATTTACACTTGTTGCTTTGCTTTGTCCACACAGTTATCATCAGTGAGGAAAAAAAATCTCTCTATAAATATTATGGTTGGATATTTTGTCTACTGTAACTTACATATGACACACTATATATAAAAACCAAGATAAATGTGGTCATTTTACTGTGGTGTTTTTAAGGAAAGAAAAAATAGGTCACAAAAAATATATAATTTTGGACTGCCAGAAATGCAGGACTGCTGGTCAACCCTAGTGCGGAATATTCCAAGTGTTCTAGGGTAAATTATAGTGCTTGGTGCAAAAACAAATATAAATGAATGACTGTTTGGCTCCTCATTAACCTTTTACAGCCTATGCCATTAATGACTTATATCTGGGTATTTCTAATGCAATCTCACGGAAATTCGTAACTTTTTAATTTAGTGGCTAATTGGTATAAATTTGTACGATCTAATGCGTACAATTTACTACGATTTGCTCATCACCCAATGACGGTTGGGGTTAGGGGTGGGGTTGGGTGCCACGCCTTCTTTTTTAAAATAGTAAATTTTCGTACGACTGAACTCGTACAAATTTGTACGAATTAGCCACTAACCTGACAAAACGTAAGATAATTAAGTTTCCTCGTGAGATCAGGCTGGTATTTCTGCTAAAGTCTTTTCACTTTCTAGTGCCTTATCGTAACGGCAGTAACAATTGCATTCATATCCCAATTAATTTACATAAAAATATAAATATGCATAATTTTTTTCTTTAAATTTAAGACTGTTTCATGAATTATTAAATTTTAACCAAGACTTTATGAATTTATATTAGAGAAAATATATAGTGAAAATGCTTCTGAAACAACTCTGCTTGAGCTAACACTAGCATATTCAGTGGTGTCTTATGAGAGCAGTCCCGTAGAAGACCAGCAGCAACGATTAGAATTAGATAATAAAGTAAATGTTGGGTTGTTTTTCACCTAAACTCATTGTATGTTTCCAGAACACTTAGAAACTTCACCTTGCATGGAATCATAAAAGCTTGATGTTGGTTTCTATACACTCTCGTTATGTACAGTGGATGAGCCAAATCAAAATACATTAAAGAAAAAACACTCATTTTGCATTGTGAAAAAAAAGTGTAACATTAGACATTAGTAAAACACCAAGGTGAAAAAAATGGACTGAAGTTTTCCTTTAACCCTTTATTAATCATGAAACCAGGTAACTTCACTGACATTGATTGGAATATAATCATAATTTTGTTTTAAGTCACAAAAGTAATTTCCCAAACCAAAGTAACTTATCATGTTTTTTCTGAAGAGTTTTTCAATGAGTGCCCTATGAAGGGTTAAAAGAAAAACTACGATAAAGAATTACAGTACTGAAATCCTTATAATGTGTACAGTTCTGTGCATAAATGAGTACGTCCCGCACAAATCTCTCTTTTAATTTCATATACTTTATACTAATATCAGTGATACTTGATATTGATACTTTATACTCATATAGTTAATAATCTCATATTCAATAATATATTATATGTGCAAAAACATTAGACTAGTTAGTACAAAAGTAAAAAAAATGGAACTAATCTAAAAAAGGAAGGTCACAGTCCAAAAATTAGTACACCCAAATTAATATGTTGGGGAAAATGTTAAGCAAATTTTTATTTAAAAAGGAAAAATCAAGAGAAACTTAAAAATATATGTAATGTAGTTTTTGTTTTCTAATTTGTAAATTCTTTTTATTTTATTATTATTATTATTTTATTTGAATTTAAATGTATTATCTTTCTATTCGTGAAGATGTAAGGTGACCCCCCCCCCCCCATTTTTTAACAGGTATAACTGTATAATTAAACTGTTTTGTTTAAATGCAACAAAATTATTAGCTTTATTCACTAAGAAATGGACAAAAATATAAATTTTCAAAGAGGGGTGTACTGAATTTAAAAGCTGTGCTCCACAATGTAAATGTCCCACTGTTGCTGTCATTCTAGTGCAGGGATTGGAAGAACAGGCACAATTATCGTGATTGACATTCTTATCGACATCATAAATAGACAAGGTAAGCATTTCATACAGAATTATCCCAGTGGTGTCTTTTTTGTCTGTCATTGATTACATTTAACACAGCTGAACTGCTTCTCTAAGGGCTGGACTGTGACATTGACATCCCAAAAACGATTCAGAGAGTGCGACAGCAGCGGTCCGGTATGGTTCAGACTGAAGCCCAGTACAAGTTCATCTACATGGCTGTTCAGCAATACATTGATACTGCTCAGAAGAGACTAGAAGAGGAGCAGGTGCTTGAACACTACATTTTCAATCAAAATAATGTGATGGAGATACATATATATATAAATTACATGCTACAGTACAGTCAAAGTCAAACAGAAACACTTTACAATAAGGATGTATTAGCTAGTGTTAGATAATGCATTTGCTAAAATGGTCAAACAATGAACAATACATTTATTGCAGTATTTATTCATCTTTGTTAACATTAGTTTCCCAGTCTTGGGTTGCAGCTGGAAGCCCATCCGCTGCATAAAAAATATGCTGGAATAGTTGGCGCTGGCGGTTCATTCTTGTGTGGAGACCTCTGAAATAGAGACTAAGCAGAAGGAAAATGAATAAATGTATAAACGAATGAATAGATGAATGAATGTTAACATTAGTTGAGGTAACTGTCTATCCTGCCACAGCTGAAATCTACCCACATTTGGCAGGCTGACTGGTGTTAATGTCAAGCCCTAATAACTATTATTAAAAGTTTTTTTGTCAAAATGGAATGATGTTTCTAAACATGCCTCAGGAATGTTGTTTCAGATCTATCAAATTTCCCCCAAACCAGACACAAACACAACCATTCTTATATTTTTATGTGCAGTTTGAGATATTGCCTACATTTTATTTTTGCCTTATGTATTAGGCAGCATCGATCTTATAGTACAATATTTTTCCCATATTCATTTTTTTATGGCTAAAACTGAATGCATTAACATATTTACTACAATGGAATGCTATTTGACAAGCCTTATTTTTATCAAATGAATTTTTAGCTTCATGATTTTGTTCTTGACATTTTCAGAGGAACAAAACGAAGGAGAGGGAATACTCTAACATCAAGTACCCACAGATGTCAAATGCCAGAGCCAAGCCTAACATGAGCTCGTCTCGCTCTTCATCTGTGTAAGTGCTCGTTTCCTGTCATTCACACAGAACACACACACTTAGAAACATAGCCCACACAGTATTGTTACTGGAAGACAGTTAATGAGCTTCTATAGGTAAACCGTCTCCCACACTTCCTCAATTCTAAAGGTATTTGTTGCTAAGTGAATCATTTTCCGACAAAAGGCTTCTGATGCTACTGTGAGTCAGTCGTTGAAGAACAATAAACACAAACTTTAGTACATCAAGTTTGATAAGTGTGTTCACATTCTTGTTGTTTTTGCTTTATTTTTCATAAAATTAATGCAGCCTCCATGGGCTTTATTCAAAAGTGTATTAAAAAATCTTACCTATCACAAATGACTTATGCAAAACTCACTTTTAAAAGGGGTTGAAACACAGTTGTGTGTGAAAAGTGCATGAATATATTCAGCCTTTAATGGTAAAAATGTATTAATTAAAATTTTTGCAGAAACACTTTGAAGGACATTCTCCCTTTGCATGAGTCATCAGAAAGGGGAAAGTCCCACCCATTAGTGATGATCTCTGCCTCACTAGCATAGACAGACCTAAGTGAACTTAGCTGTACTAAAGCCCAATCTCAATTCTACTCCTTTTGCTGTTTACACCACAGGCAGAATGTGTGAATAAATTGCACCATTCGCCCGTAAATAGACACGTAAACTTTTTAAGTTTACTCACTTCATTTGCGCATCAAATCTGCTTCATTCGCACATCAAATCTGCTTCATTCGCACATCAAATCTGCTTCATTCGCACATCAAATCTGCTTCATTCGCACATCAAATCCGCTTCATTCGCACATCAAATTCACTTTACAATAGACGCGGATTCTCTTCAATGGGCAGGGCTTCTGTCTGCCTGGTGATAATATATTTGTTGCTAACTGGCTAACATTGATTTTATTGAGAGAATAGCTGTGTTTATGTGCTTTATGAAGGCTGAAAAACAGCATTGATTTGTTTGGAGCTGTGTCTAGATCCATTCAGAGGTGCACCCAGCTCTGTGAGTTCATAAACTACTCCGGGGACTATACCTGGATGATGGAAGCTTTCAGCGGTGCTTCAGACTGAGCAGAGCCTAGTTTGATGACTGCTGTCCAGTCTCAGCTAGAGAATTTCCCCCCAGAACACCACCAGCAGGCGCTACATCATAATCAGTATTTTTGTTATTATTATGTATTTTTACAAAAAACTAGTTTTTATACATTTATAACAGCATTCGTGTTTTACCGTCATGCTTTAAAAAAAAATACTAAAATAAAAACCGCCTAATTTCACTATCTGTTATCCCTAATAAAAACTGCTGTATAGCAGTCAAATAACACATCTAACACTTAATGACACTCGAATACCTGTCAGATAGTCTAGTGGCTGGGAATGACCTTTTGACAGTGTCTAGAAAGGTCAATGTTGTTTTTATTTATTTACATAGATGAATATGCACACGGTGTAAATGCACAGTACAGCTATAGTATTGCCACATTATATTGTTATAATAATATGATATCGTTGCCTTCAGTGATTTCCTGAAGATAAATACTGAAAAATATTTCATGTCTTAGTGTTACACTCTGTTTCAAGGGCCAAGGGGAAGGGGTAGGGGTACAAAAATAGAATTGAGATTGGGATGGATGCACAAATGAACGCTGTAGTCTCCATAGACTTTCTCCTTTTTTTTTCTTGAATTCGCTGCTATGCTAACCCATAGGTGTTCTAGCTCCACCCTCTTATGAAAAGAGAGCTAAGAGCTTCAAATGAATGTATAAAATGATTTGTGTGGCATTTTGAGTTGAAACACACTCTAGGTGCATCAAAGATTTATTTTACATTTTATTTTACAAGGTTCTCTTTAATTAAAATGTATGGGTTTAGTATGTGTTTAATAGATTTTCATTTTTTAATAATTATACAATTTTTATAGAATTCAGAATTATGTATCATAATGAAATTATGAAAATCTTCTTTTATACTGAAATATGTTTAGTTATTTTTAGACCACATGCTGTAATTGAATTCAGCAGGGTTGTATGAGATTTGGTTTAAAAAAATTAAGAAAATGTAAGTAGTGGTATCTGTCAGAACACCATTAATGTAGTGATTTTATTTTAATTTACTTTACTTTTTAGTATTAATATAACTTATTTAAGTAATATTACTTGTCAAATCACTATTGGTTACAGAAAATAGACTTTTATACTCTTTATTGTCACCCCTGGCATTAAATAGATGTTTTTTCAGTCATCTTTATTTCAGTAACACACTTGTTTTCTTGCACAGAATGAATGACGACTCCAGTGTGTATGAGAATCTGAACATCAAAAATCCAAAGGGCTCCACCAGCAGTAACACCAGGAGATAAGCCACGGGCTGCTGTCTCAGGGACTCTGGGAGTATGTTTTCCACCCTCACTTTCACAGTGTTAAACATTTTAGCCATGCCAATGTTCACACACACTTATACACACTGTAGACCTGCAACCAAGTATATTGAAACAGAGAGATGGGTGCAGTGAATGAATAGGAGACAGACAGTAAGGAACAGATGGGGGTGAGAGTTGTGTCTTTGTTGCAGCCCACCAGCAGAAAAGTGTAACCTTACAGAACAGCACTGTTTGCCACATGGCCTTGAAAATAACACCATATTTCATAGAAAAACACAAACCGCTGATGTTTTCAGATGTTAGTAAATCTCATGTCTGATAAGTTTTTTTATGAATGAATGAATAAATTCATAAATTAAAACATACTAAATGCTAAAAATAATGCAAATCTTTTCCTTTTCTTTACATCAATTGTACATTATCTTTTAAACTTTTAATTGTCTAAAGAATTTGTTTCAACAAAGCAGCACAAATATAATCAAGTTGATAATCAAAGTGTTTCTAGATCACTAAACAGCATATTCATATTATTTCTGATATCTTTTGAAACTGAAGACTGAGTGGGGGAGGTTTTTAAACATGAAAATGTTAAATATGTTTCTATTTACATTTTGTTTATGCATTCAACAGGCATTTTTATTCAATCTGACTTATATTGCATTACATTTTTGCGATCTTTGCAAGTCCTGAATCGAACCCACAATCTTCACATTGCTATTTCAGCAATAGAAATGTTTTACTTTAATTATATTAAATAAATGTAAAATATTTATTCAAATATTTACAACTTTTTAAATTGTAATAATTAGTCACATTATTATTAGTTTTTACTGCAATCTTCAAGTAAATGCACAGTATACTTCATTCCATTTCATTAATCACAATATTTTAAAATATTGTTTAGAATTTATTTAATAGAGTTTTGCTTAGGGTCATTTAAATCTCATCATTTATTGTATTAAGAATTAGTTATTATTATGAGGATGTCATGGTGGTGTAGTGGGCATCATGATCTCCTCACAGCAAGAAGATCCCTAGTCTGAGTCTCGGCTGGGTCAGTTGTAATTTTTGCGTGGGTTTTCTTCAGGAGCTCCGGTTTTCCCTACAGTCCAAAGACATGTGGTACAGGTGAATTGGGTAAGCTAAATTGTCCGTAGTGTATGTGTGTGAATGAGTGTGTATGGATGCTTCCCAGTGATGGGTTGCACCTGGATGGGCATCCGCTGCATAAAACATATACTCTAAGTTTGCAGTTCATTCCGCTGTGGCGATCCCACAGAAAATGAATGAATAAATGTATTGTAATGAAATTATCTTCATTAACATTCAAAATTCTAATGTAGGCATATCTGTTTACAGGGTGTTCGTGGGTTCTTAAAAAGTCTTAAAATGTCTTAAATCTCAAAAACAGAAGTTTAGGCCTTAAAAATTTTTAATTTACTGAAATATTATTTGATCATGTATACGGTAGCTACCCAATCTGGCCGACACTCATCCAATCACCAACAATCCATCTCTATAAAACCTAACATTTTATTTAAAAATTAAATTTTTAACTCTATTTACCACAATGGTTTAGTTTTTTTCCCTTACACTAACATTCTCCTGGACATGGACAGGCTGTTGTGCATACGTTTAGTTTATTATAGTTTTTAAAACTTTTAAAACATTTGTCAATTTTTAAAGAAAGGTTATGTTGGAAAAAGTATGTTTACAACTAGAGCTTGCTTGTTTTGACACAATATTTAAAATATTTTGCTAGGATTTGCTAAGATAATTTTTATTATTAAATTATTATTGTATTATTACATTTATTAAATTATAATATATTATTTAATAGGGTAAATAAAAATCTTTTCCATCTGGGTCGTTTGAAAAACTCCTTAGCATTTGGCCCTGTAAGAGTCTAAATTACGTTCATAATGGTCTTAAAAATGTCTTAAAGTCTTAAATTTAGCTTGTTGAAACCTGCAGAAACTCTGTTTAGATCAGAGATACCCAAACTATTGGCCTTGGGCCGAAGCTGGCCCATAGTAACCTTTGATTTGGCCGGCCATCCCATCTGAGAAGAGATGGAGAATGATGAGGATGGTAACTGAAATTAAATGTTTCAATTCAAATGGTGTCATTTAATCCGATTTACTTCAAAATGTACATACTGTCACCGAAACGCATAGAGGACTTTGGTGAGCAAATCAAGGCAAAGGCAGGTTCTGCTTGACTAGTGTGTTCAGCATTGAACTTCCTTGTGTTATAAATGTGATTGTTTATGTTTTTATTGCAAAAAGTTTTCATCATTAATTATTTAAAAAAATGTATACTGCATTAGTTAACAAAATATGAAGTACTTTTTTTGTTTATTTAAAAATGTTATTAAATAAATTAGGAAATTACTCATGGCAACTTTAATGTAAAAGTTTGGTATTTTTTTCTTTGGCCCACTTTTATCAATGATATTTGTTTTTTCTTCATATGAAAAAGTTTGGGCACTCTTGGTTTAGATTAGAGATCGGCGCGAGACAGAATTTTCAGTTTCGCTCCCGCCAGGTTTTATTCCGCACCTGACTCGCTGTAGATTCAGTCTTTGTTCACCTGCTGCCTGACATGCACCGTTTTCTACCTGACCTGACCGTTCCCGCTAATTTTATGTTAAAATTGGGTACTATCAAAAGAGAGAGAGATAACAGATAAAAGTGTAGGTTGTGCAAGGATTGTAGGCTAAATGTCAGTTTTGCCTCTTTGTGATGAGACATTAGTGGTTTGTGGCTGGTGGGGCACAGACTCTTTCAAAGTCAGACTTACTAACATATCCACTCAATATATTTTCCAACTAACGATTGTGTTTTATATTTCATAATAGCAATATTCTATATACATAGCAGGTACATATTGGGCCAAGAAAGAATATAAAATGTATAGCGATTAAATAGGCCTCCCAAAAAAACACCCAGCTGGATCCTAGAGTCCAGACAGCCTATAACAAGCGACACACAGCACCATGGCGGACGGGCGCTCTCTCTCATTCACACACACAGCACATGGGCAGATGTGCACTCTCTCTCTCGCTCTCATTCACACACAGTACAGCACCACGGCGAATGCATGCTTTCTCTCTTGATCACTCGTTCTCTCTCTATATATCTCAGAACGGAACGCTATATTGTTAGACCACCCGCTCCTATTCAAATTAAATCGAGTAAATACCAACCGCTACCATGTTTTATTCTGAAATTTATTCCTGCACCGAAAAAAATCTGGTCGGGTCCCGTGACTAATGCAGACCTCTAGTTTAGTTCTTTTTAAACAGAAAAAAAAATCCTAAAATCTTATTAAGAAGGTGATGTATTCCCTAAACATAACATTTTCCTTCTCTCTCTATACAGACAGCTTGGCCTTGTAGAATAATACCATTTGGCATCTCACTGACGCCTACATCATCACTATAGCAACCAATGCACTGTACATACAGCAGATAATCACTCCACTGCCTGAACTAACACATCACACTTGCAAAGGAACCTTTACATGTGTGAAAGTGCCTCCTAATGCGTCTCTAAATACTCTGTTCTTTTCTGTCCAGTTCCAGCAGAGATGCTGTTCAGAAGCACTAGATCATGGAACGACACTGGATCAAGCCACTGGGGGGTGGGGGACCAGCAGCACCAACCCTGAGGTGACGCTGTTTTGGCTGGAGGTTTACAGAGATCTCCAACAGCTCATTTCCTGACTGAAAAACCACACTCCAAAACTAAGTGCCTGATCAGCAGCCGAAATTGTTCCCGCTATGGATGTGTGTCTCTCGGTGCTTTCTCTCCCCACTTCTAGTCTAGCAAGCCTGCACTAAGCTACATGATGGTTTGTATATGTGTGAAGTATATATGAAATATGAATATTTACACTCAGCGACGTAACTTTGGATGAAGCTACGCTCTTTCCATGCTGTCTACGGCTCTTTCCAAGACCTTGCTTTGTCTACTGGATGTCGTCTACCGTAACCAAAGACCTTTAATATTTATATATCTCAGTATCTCGCAAGCAGCAGTCATTCGCGCTCTGCTTAATGATGCTTGCGGTTGTTTTAAGAAGAAAAGTACACTTCCTGAGCCTCAAGAATCCTGGTTTTCTTTTCAGGGGAGTTGATTGGTCAGACATCGACCAATGTATTGGATACCCTGTAAGTAGGTGTTTTTTAAATGGACTGATTCGGTACAGTTTGGTAGAATATTTACAGTATGTGCCAATTAGCAGCCTGTACGTCATACTTGTGAAAGCTTGTGCTTTTGATGCTGTTTTATTGAGCATTACCTCTAGGCTAACCAACAGTCAAGTGCTACTGTCAATCAAAGGCTTATCAACCAATCAGGCTGCCTCTTCATCAGTAAGCTCCTCCCTCTGTGAATAGGCTTGATTTGTTCTGAAAACATCAGGTGAGCCTTTTTTTAGATTCATTTTTGTTTTGTTAATAGTCATTTCGTTTGCAACTATGATTCCTTTAGAGCAGTTTTATTTTCTGTGGTGATGTTTGTGAATGTGATTATGAAATCTGGGCCTGGCGTTTTTTATGTAATGCATTTCTTTTTATGTCTTTGACTGTATTATTCCACATTTCCTCTGAGGAGACTCATTAAGCTCTTTTATCACATGTCAACAGGGTATGTGTGTATTGCAGTGTTATAAATAGCCCGTTAAAGCTTTTTTTTACGTCAATAGGGGATTGTGATTGCACTGAGGAGGCCTTTGAATGAAATAACGTAAAATGAAAACGTGGTATTACTAGACATTTACAAAGGAGGGGCAAATGTCAGGATGTCAGCTGAGCCATTGACGTGAACAGGATTTCGGTAGAGACTACAGCTAAAAATGAGGCAGGCCAGATGGCCCTCGGCGAAGATTAAAGAGTAGATTTGTGTTGAGCAAAAAAAAAAAAAGTAATTTAAAAGATGGCCGTAATCCAGACATCCAGGCTATTATTGGGTCAGCAGTGATGTCATAAGATGTTATATATACACACACACACACACACTACTGTTCAAAAGTATGGGGTCGGTATATGATATATTGTTATGTTTTTTAAATGAATTAAACTGTATTCGGCGTGGATGCATAAAAGTGATTATAAAGTTCATCTTTAGAACTACAAATGTTTTTTTTTTAAATAAATTATTTTCATTTGAACATTTTGTAGCTCAAATAATCCTAAAAAAGGTTTACATAAAAATAAGCTACACATTGGTTTGTTTATGGGTGATATAAGTGTATAAATTAAATATAATTATACACTCAATGGTTTTGTAAGATCCTATGCTTCTATGATATCTACAGTGCAAAAAGGCTTTTCTTACTTTTTAGTTTTTGTTTTGTTTTTTAGTCCAAATAACTACAAATTCTTAAATCAAGAAGCATTCTGATGACAAGTAGAAACATATATTCATTCATTCATTCATTTTCTTTTTGGCTTAGTCCCTTTATTAATCTCATCACAGCGCCACAGCGGAATGAACCGCCTACTTATCCAGTACATGTTTTATCCAGCGGATGCCCATCCAGCTCCAACCCATTACTGGGAAACATCCATATGATTCACACACATACACTTTGGAAAATTCAGCTTACCCAATTCGCCTGTTCCATGTGTCTTTTGGACTTGTGGGGGATACCCGGAGCACCCGGAGAAAATCCACGCGAACACAGGGAGAACATGCAAACTCTACACAGAAATGCCAACTGACAAAAACATATATATGTAATATATATTTCTTTATTTTATTTATTTATTTTTATTTTTTCAGAAATAAAAGAATAATAAACGAGGATGTGCTCCGATCAGCATACCAAGTGCCGATTCTTTGTCATGGGGATTGGCTGGAACCAATTCTGATGCTGCAAGCTTTATAGTGCATTAAGAACATTTTTACCCTAAGTATAATACTTAAGTGGAGATCTCTCCTTGCCTCAGAAAATAAATTAAGGATGTTGCATAAAATACCTTAAATGTGTCTCTTTTAGCCATTTAGATGTGCACATTTCATGGTCAGAAGCAGCTTCACAGAAAAAAGATAAAACATTAAACAAATGGTGAGAAAAATGACAAACAATGTAGTTTGAAAACACTGCAAATGATGGAAGAAGATTTCAACGTATCTCAATGAAGAAAAAGTTAGGAGTGCATATTTGATGCATAAGAAGTTAAAATGCACACATAAATCCATTACTTCTTTAATAAATGGAAATAGACCTATAAACTACTGTTTATAGCAATAAGTATTTTACAACAAGTTGTATTATTAAAAATTAATTTAAAAAAAATGTTTTATTTGTGTAACATTTCCAGCCAGGTTTTAGTGAATTTGCAATATTTTTAAAAACACAGAACCTTCAGTTCTTGTGTGTAAAAAGGCCTAAACACATGCAAAAAAACACATGCAAGCACATTCAAATATTTTGCTCGTCTCCAACTAACACAAACACTTGCAATTAGTACATGAGATCGTCCAGAACAACGAGTACCAGTTGAGTTTGCCTGTTCTCCCAGTGTTTGAGTGGGTTGCCTCTGGGTGCTCCGGTTCCGCCCCAAAGACATGCGCTATAGGTGAATTGAAGAAGCTAAATTAGCCGTAGTGCATGTAAGAGTGTATGGGTGTTTCCCAGTACTGGTTTGCAGCTGGAAGGGCATCCACTGTATAAAACACAAGTTAACGGTTCATTCCACTATGGTGACCCCTGATGAATAAAGGGACTTAGCCAAAGGAATATAAATGAATAAGTATATAATTATTTAGGAATGATTTGGAAGGATCATGTAATCAAATTAGACTTTAACATGATGAGGATAAATACTATTTTAACTTAACAATTTAATTGTAAATAGTATTCCACATAAAACACTTTTTTTTTTCAAATAAATGCCATCGTAGTGAGAATAACAGACAGACCTCATTCAAACTCAAATCTTTTGAACAGCTGTGTGTGTGTGTGTGTGTTTGTGTGTGTGTGTGTGTGTGTGTGTGTGTGTGTGTGTGTGTGTGTGTGTGTGTGTGTGTGTGTGTGTGTGTGTGTGTGTGTGTGTGTGAGAGAGTGTGTGTGGGCTTAGAGATGAAGCAGGATATGATGTATGTGATTAAACCACAGCGTCTGACTGTGAAAGTGGTGTTAGTTTGAGCCACATGATGGGATCTGTGATGTCATGTGCTGAAAAACTAAAGTACGTGTTCAGAAGGAGGCCCAGGTAAATTTTTTTGCACTTGGAAGTTTAAAACCTTTAACCATCCGCAAACGTAAAAGCAATTTCACTGCATATGATAATCATTGTGGAATGACTGAGTGACTTTAAATGTGATTTCTGTACATGCTCGTGGGAGAGCAATGCTCTACTGTTTGTTTGTTTTGATTTTGCCTCTGTGAAAGGTTGAAAATTGACTGACATATTAAGACTTGAAATTCAGTTCAAACTGCTGCAAAGTGTTGTGTCTGCCAGAATGTTGTTCAGAGGTGTATATTTTAATTTTGATTTTCGTCTTATGTGTTGATTTGCCATCAGTGTGGTGTTTTACGTTTATAGAACTTTCTTTTTCTTGGTCAGTTATTGATTTGTTGTAAATTGTACATTTGATTTGAATGTTAAACAGTGATGGAAATATTCACAGATGTTTAGCATCTTATTTTAGAATGATTTGTCACCATTATTATTATTATTATTATTATACAAAACATCAACAGTTATGAAGCTACATCTGCTTGCTTTATCATAATTTGTCTTCTCTTTACTTTACTTGAATACTCTGTTGGTGGTTTTTTTAATCTCAGTTGGTTTGATCTGAATCGTGTCGTGTTGACTGTCCTCGTGTGGTAAAGACTGTGTTCCCTCTTGCACTGATTCAGCCTAAAATGCCTTCTGCCCTGGAAAATACGGCTCATGTAATGACTTGCGTCTCAAATGACAATATGCGATTAGTTATTGATTAATAAACATACACTGGGAACTTTCAACTAATTGCATTTGACTCCTCATTTCACCTTGCACAAGCAAACAGTTGCTGACCTAGATTTGGTTTCCTTGCCTCTTCATACATTCCTTCTGTCATTACGGTTTAATAATAAACAGCTTGACGTTGGTTTTTTGATGAAAACCCCTGGAACTAGGAAGCTGAAAATTTGTTCCTGCAAAACACACACAATGGATTGGTTTATGTGGGTGTGAGTGTTTTACAGGACCCGTCGCTGCAGGGCTTAGGTTTCCGACGGTTATTCTGTAGGGTGTGTTCGTTTAACCGTTCCTGAGCAGGAAGTGATAAATTATGGCCACGTGAATCTGTTTGCCTTTCTTTTCCTTTTGTCCGCCGACCTGAGTCAGTTAGAGCATAAATATTGCACCTACTGAAACTGATAAACATTCCAAGACACCATTTGATTGAACTTCATTGTGCCACTTGCACATTTATTTTTCGTAAACAAAATACATTTCATAGAATGTGATAAAATAAAATATACACACAAATGTACAAGTAAAAAATTTTGTAGTTTTTGTCTTTTCATCAAGTTGCCATCATATCATTGAAGTTTTGCGGGCAAAATACAGATGTTTCAACAGGAATCTACATAATCAGGATTCTTGTGTGAAGACAATAAAGTTCTCCATTCACATTTCCCTCACGTTTATGATAGTGATGTAATGACTATAGGCACAGATTTAGCAATGCTATAATGACCATGTTTAATTATCTGTGAAATCATTATTGGAAAGAAAATCAGCTGATTAAACACTGGTGTCATAAACTGGCCTCCACAGATTCAAGAACTGAACATTATAAAGGCAGTTTAATGGGACTATCTGGAAAGAGAAATAAATAAATAAAAGAGGGGAGGTGCGGAAAAAAAGCATGGATAACATCAGAACAGTCTTTTCATAAGAGTTTAAGAAGAGTGTGAAATGCTTCTGGCAGATATTTTGTTCTAAAAAACTTTGTGGGTTTTTTGTGCCCATATTTAGCATCCTTTCTGTTTGTATCCCAATGAAGAGATCAAAGCATAAAAATGGATCATCATTAAAACTTTGCTGAAACACCCCCAATCTGAGTGAACTAAGACTTCTGCACAATACTGTGGTTCACTGAGAAATAAATATTTGTAAGTTTCACCCCCAGTGGTTGAACTAGGTATTGCATTTTTGGATCCAAACAAGCGCAAGAGCAAGCCTAAACAATCGAGCCTAAAGGTTGATTTAAATCGTACAGAGACCCGAAAGGATTGTGATGGTGGGGGGTTGATCTTTGAGAGATATCGCAAAACATCTTTGAGAGGGAACGCAAAAACATATATATTTTCTAATCACAGGTTTTTTTTATCTCCCACCCATTTTTTTTTTCTCCCACTAAAGTTTTTTTCTTTCACCCATTTTTTTCCCCACCATCACGTCCCTTCCGGGTCTCCGTAAAATCATGTTCTAACTAAAAGTAACGGTACGCGATAGAAAGAATATTCTCCATATTAAATAAGTTTTTGTTCTAACCAACACCTTGAATTGATGTATTAGAAATGGTTTCTATTTCTTGCAGTTGAACAACGGGCAGTGATCACCTCAGGTACACCTCATGTGCTTTATTCAGTGTGAAATGCGAATAATGTGAATGCCATTTTACATGACATTAATTGCCATACTACTGAAAGCAGCAGCAGATAGTTCACCTCAGATCTTAAAAATAAAATAAACAGTTTGAAATTAAACTTTAGAACTGTGAATAATGCAAACCAACACATACTGTATCAGGGATTCAGCATGTACATTTAATAATGTTTAATATGTATTAATTACATTATAAACCTTATTCTGTGCTTCTGAATGGCTGTATTTAAATTTCTGTGGTGTTTCGTCTTATGCAAACAGCCAAATTGCTTGTTACTGCAAATCTCATCACATAGCCTGTTGTTAAGACACAGGGTTATAGTGTAACCTGCTCACTTAATGTTTATGTTTGTAATATTTATTCTTATTGCTAATTAATAACCTCATGTGGAACTCTGGATCTGCATCACATTTCAGAGTCTGCTACTGTCCACCGGAGGTGGCATTTATGAAATATGCTGTTTTTCAAACTGTTGATTAAAGGTTTAACTATTGTAAATTATGCAAAGTTTCTCCTTACAATACATTAATATGTTGATGTTAAGACCTTAATGTGTCATCAGGATCCACAGGTATTAATTCAATTTTGCCCATATGTGTTTTCTACTCTTGAAGGGCAAGTAGTTGTTCACTTGCATTTTGCAAATCACCAAGGACCATTTTGGATGGCATTAGGATGAGTAAATTAGGAGCAAATATTCATTTCTAACCGAACAATCCCTTTCAGGCCAGTACATGCTAGAGCAGTGGTTCTTAAACTTTTTTATCCAAATACCACCTCAGAAAAAAATTAAGTTTCTTCAAGTACCACCATAATTCCTATAAACTGAAAATGTAACAGACATCCACATCCACAATACAGTAGTTTAGTAGGCCTAATTAAGCAGGTAAAGCTCTGCACAGTTCAAAAACGTGGCAGATTAATTCTTACTATTATAATGAATATTTATTATGGCACTGTTCTTAAAAAGTAAAAATAAAACTGCTGTACTTAAATGTAAAGTATTATCCTATAATAGCCTATTCATTAAAACCTGCAAATGTTCCTTGAACCTCAGGCTATTTGTCATCCTATTCATATATAAACTCTTTTTGATAAATTTTGAAAAATATCTTGCATCTAGATATGACTTATTTGTATATCTGTGAAATCTAAACAATAACTTGTATTTTAAATAAATGAATTGGATTTACATATTAAAATTAGAATTTAGATCTGCCTACTGTGCATTAGAGTAGGCTTTGTGTGTCAGAAAAGCAAGTGATTAAATTATACCTGTTAACATTAGGATATAAAAATACGGAATATGCCCCCAACAACCATCACAATATAGGGAGGAAATTAGCTTCAAATGATAGAATACATAACAAACTTTAGTAAATTGAAAATAAAATAAAAGGTTTAGCCTATTAAAATCAATTGACTGATCACATCGATGTTATCGAACACATTAAATGGTTAAAAGTATGTACATTTTTACTTTAATTATTTAGTTATTCCTCCACATACCACTAGAAGAAAGCCTGTTTGAGAACCACTGCGCTAGACTGTCTGAACCAGCCCAGCAGAGATAACAACCAGGTTACAGTACCAGCACCACCAAAACACTGATCAGACCTGAAATGTCTGTTAACTTTGGTCGGCATCTGTCGATGAATTGCCCTTTATTAAACTTGTTTAATATAAATGTAGTTTTGATCATTGTAGGCTTACAGTCATCAGTCAGCTTTCTCATCTGCACTGGCTATAGATTTTGGCTCTTATTAAAATGTCCTATAAGATACTGATGCAGCTCTGCCGTCCTGCAGCTCACTCTAAATCTTTCATCACCCAACAGTCTTTGCAAGAATGGATGTAAACGGATACCAATCATCTTAATTTTGCAGTCTAACTTACAACAACATTGTGACTGTGGTTGTAGAAGCGGTAGTAGTAGACATATGCATGTTCTGGGGCGAGCAACGCAAGGAGCCCGTTGTGACGATGCACTGCAGGGGCCACAAAACAATCCCCAAAAGCAGCACCATGAGGAATATAAAAATTAGCAAACGTTTCCAGTCCATCATCCTTTCCATCAGACTGAGCCTCGGACGAGTCTGGGAAGAAGACACACCACTATGGCCACTAGCCCCAATATCCACACAAATGCAGAATGCTGGTACTCCTGGCATTTCTATTGGCCGTTGGTAACAGAGCCTCTCCCCGTCCAGCCATACAGGCTCTTCGTGCTGCTGGTGGATGGGCAGGCGACATAGAACCTCCTGGCTGGTGGTCAAAGCCGGCGGCCCCTTTTTTGGGATGGTGGTCGGTTGGCGGCAGAAGGGGCAGGGGATTTTTGAGTTTTGAGGGTCCATGGAGGTGGTCATGATCCGGGAAAGGCATTCAAGGCAGAATGTGTGGGTGCAGTCCAACTGTTTTGGCGTTTTGAAGACATTGTCGTAGGTGTTGAAGCAGATGGAGCACTCGGGATGAGAGCTCACCTTCTCCAGCTCTGTTTCCAGCGGGACCACCTGAGTGTGCCACACCATTGGACTCGGCTCCATCTCGCAGGAATATAGTCCTCCACTCCTCCACTGACTGCCTCACGTGGATTTACTGGAACATGAAAGACAAACACTTCAAAATCACCTTTAGGTTTATTCATAGGCTCTATAGAGAAAATCTAGGGCACAGGTTATGAAGTTAATATTTACAGCCAGTTGATTTATGTGTGCGGACAGTATTGAGAATACGCATTTGTATGGAAATTACTGTGCAAACAGAAATGTATGTAGAACAAGCTGAGCAAGAAAATAGGTCAACAGCATTTATTTGACTTTTTGCCCTTTAATCAAATGAACTCTGAGCTGGTCATCAGGTCTAAACAAAGTTCTACATAAGAGCTTGTACTGTTCATTCACTGTTACTGTACATATATAGTATTGACATTTTTGTTTTTTGTTTTAGACCAAAATAAATGTTTTTACTGATTATTGGTGGCATTTTAATTGATTTATTAACTGATTTTATTAGATTACGTTTTCTATTTTACCGTGGTTTCAGTAGTGGAAAGAGTGCTGAAACTGATACTTAAGTGAAAGTACCATTACTTGCTTAAAAATGTACTGCAAGTAGCAAAGTATCTGTTGTAAAAATTACTCAAAGTATGAGTGAAATGTAGAACATTCAAAAGTACAAAAAAATGCAGGGTTCCACATAATTCATTCATGTTGTCCCAATACAAATCGATTAAGTTAACTTAACACTTAACAAATTTCTGTGGATTGAACGTAAAAAAAATTAAGAAGTCCCAATAAAAACTCAAGAATGTTGTTTCAACTCATTTTAAATTAATAGTTTGAACAAGCATAAATAAATAAATGTGTGTGTGTGTGTGTGTGTGTGTGTGTGTGTGTGTGTGTGTGTGTATATATATATATATATATATATTTTTTTTTTTTTTTTTTTCCCTTTGGAGTGTAGTTAGTAATAAGTAATACACTGTAAAAAGCTGATGCATTTACATGTCATTTGTGGATGTGTGTAAACGTAACATTCTGTAGTGCTTTTAGTTATTGCCCAGCAGGCACACAATTTCATAAGACGTTAATATAAGGTTTGATTTAAGTTGTGATGTCAAGGGACCAAAATTCAATGTATTGTAAGCATATAAGGACAACAATATTTTTATGTCCAATAACAACATCAAATGATGTTGATATCTACAGTAGTTGATTTTAGGTTGTGTTAGAAAGTGGCCAAAATCCAACGTCGAGCCAACATCTCAAACCAATGTCATCTTGATACCAGAAATTGCCATTTATTCGTCATGTATAGCAACCAAAATCCAACGTCTGATAGACATCATAGTGGTAACGTCCACACAACGTCAAGCTGTAACATCATTAAACGTTGATATTTGGTTGATTTTAGGTTTGACGTGGGCGACGTTGAGTTCTGACGTCAACCCGATTTTCATTTCCAAACAAAATGCAACATCCCCATGACATTGGGGTATAACTTCAATCTGATGTCATGTTGGTGTCTTTTGCCTGCTGGGTGTTTAAGGCAATTTCGATCTTCATACAGTAAGCATCCGTCATTTTTCATTGGCAAAATGCATCTAAACAGTCTCTTAGTCAATGTGTGTAAAGGTTTGCTGCAATTATAAATTGCCCATGTCTTGAGGTATTTCATTATGATGCGATTTACCTCTTTACTTCTCTGTGAATCACACAAAGACAAGAAAAATAAAGTAGTGACTGCAGGTTTAAGGACAGTAGTGGAGTAAAAGTACTGATACAGCACTAAAAACTGAACTCAAGGGAAAGTAAAAGTACACACTTTTAAAACAACTTACTAAATTACAACTCCAGAGAAAACTACTCAATAGGTTATGTAGGTTCAGTAGGTTATGAATAAAATATGGTAATTCTTATGGTTTAATAACTATGGTTAATGCTTATGGTTTAATACCCCCCCCACAGGACCCCTCGGGAGGACCCCCACTTTCAGAACCAGTGCCCTAAAATACTAGTGTTAAAAGTTCTCACTCACTTTCCTTCTACCTAGTCCCTAATTTATCAGGGGTTGCCACAGTGGAATGAACCACCAATTATGGCAAAAGCACAGAAAAGGTAAAGTCATTGATCATTTGTGTCATGTTTATACAGTAGTTCCCCCTAAATGGCACTAAGCTCTAAAAACTGTAATCATAATCTATTTTTAAGGGTGTTCAGTAGTAAAGGTCAAGACCACATAAAAAAAATCCCCCGTGCTTACAATATTCATAAAACACAGGGTGCTTTGTTGTCCTTGTTTCTGCCAACGTCAGCAGCACTGTCCTTCAGAAACCCTTTCAGGCTCTCTAAAAGTCAACGCTCGACTGGTCCTGGCATTTGGAGACCAGAATAATTTCATCAGCAAGGTGACTCTACAGCCCATGATACAAACACTGAAGTATTTCTCGAAAACAACAGAGCTAAATAATACATGCATTTAATTCAGCCTGACTTTTAAGTGGTTTTGTGTCTGCACAGGTTGAGGCAGGGGTTCGGTTGAGAGCAGATGGCCTGTGTTTGTATGTGTGCATGTGTGTGTGCGCGTGTTTCTTTCTCCATCCCTGCTCTGCACAATGCTCCTGTTTGTTCTCCATTATATTGGTCTTTGGCATTCCTGGAGAACAGGCTGATGCCCAGGCAGCCAGTCTCTCAGCACTGCATGAAACCCTCTGACTCCAGAGCACCTGCGGTACGACTGCTGTTTTATCTGCTTTCACAATCTACGCCTCAACGCATGCCTGTTTGACCGCGGTTAGCGCACGAGTTCATGGTTATTCATTAACTCCGCTGCCTGTGTTGCTCAGTAAGTTCTTGACCTGGTTCTCCTTGCCCGTGTGCAGTAGAGCCTGCGCTTGAACTTACGCACGACACTCGGATCTGTTTGATAACGCGAGCCATTAGGGAAGATAAGGAGGGGTTTGAGAGTAGCTTTGCTAATTTGATTTAGGACAAACTGTTTTTAGTGCTGTACATAGTGTTGTCAGACTTAGCTGACTTTTCCAGCCCAAAAGCGCAAAACTCGCCAAAACGCACAAAAATGCTTAAAATATTAGATTAATGTTTTATTTAAATGTAATTTATTGAGATAGAAATTATTTCCCAGAGATGGGTTGCGGCTGGAAGGGCATCCGCTGCGTAAAAACTTGCTGGATAAGTTGGCGGTTCATTCTGCTGTGGCGACCCCGGATTAATAAAGGGACTAAGCCGACAAGAAAATGAATGAATGAAAGATAGAAATTAACCTAGTTACTGTCATAATGTTTAACCATACAGCAACCAACACCAGCAGTCACAGAACTGTGGAGTCAATCTAAGACCATATCTTGCAAAATAAAAGAAAGTTTTGCAAACAAAAAAAAAAGTATTGAGCAAACATAAATAAATAAATACAAATGTCCAAAAATCGCAACGTGAAAATGAATTTTTATCAAAATTTAAGAATTGCGAAGAGAAAATTAAGTTTTGAGAAATAAAGATGAAATTTGCAAACAAAAAACTGCAAATGAAAATTAAACTGCAAAAAAATAAAGTATTTGCAATTTAAAAAAATTATATATTGCAATGCACATTTTGATTTGAAAGCAAATCAAAATGAGGCAATGCTTAATGTTTTTTGTTTTTTTTTGCAAATATATATAGTTTTTATTGCAAATATTGTTTTTGCACTGTTTGATTTTTATTTGCAGTTCTAATTTTTGTTAGCAAATTTTATTTTTTATCAAAAATTAATTTTCGCCTTGCAATTTTTGGAGATTTGCAATTATTTATTTATTTTTGCTTTGTACTTTATTTTTTGTTTGCAAAACTTTGTTTTATTTTGCAAGTATGTGGCCCTAGATTGACTCCACACAGAACCATAACATAACCAGATCACATCGGAAAAACTACCCCCCTCTCACCCACACACTGCACTTAATATTGTGTCGATTATACTATTAGAGTATGTTTTACTTTCGAAACGGGTATAAATTCGTCCTATTTGGCGTTTTAAATTTCTTTGAACAATTGTTCTTTGAACAAAATGCATGTGTACGTGAAGGGAGGTCGGATTTGTTCTGGGGAGTCAGACTTTGATACAACTACTTTACCTCTTCTTGCGGGTGGGCCCACGCGGTTTGCGTTAAGCACTGGTCACTACTAACTGAATGGAGTTGGAGCACACAGTTGTGTTTTGTTGAATAAGTTGCCTATAAAGTTACGTTTCAAAGCTGCCTAAATTTTGTCAACTCACCTATGACATTTTTTACCTGCAAATTCAAAGCAAATCTACCCAATCTGGCAACACTGACTGTACACAAGTCTGAATGGGCTCTATGCACAGCTGAAGTTTTATTTATTTATTTAACTTATTTTTTTAAGGGTTTTCACCTTTATTAATAGGACAGTGGAGATTAGAGACAGTAAAGTGTGGGGAGTAGAGATAGGGGAAGGATCGGCAAAGGACCTTGAGCTGGCAATCGTTCTCGGGTCGCCACGAGCACCTCAGTGCTGTGTGTTGACGCTCTTACCACTAGGTTTTTGGCACTCAAGAAAACATTTTTGAACTCGTTCAAAGCCACAGCCATATCACCCTGCAGCCCAAGACCGGTTACTCACTAAAGCTAAGCAGGGCTGAGCCTGGTTAGTACCTGGATGGGAGACCACTAGGGAACACTAGGTAGCTGTTGGAAGTGGTGTTAGTGAGGCCAGCAGGGGGCGCTCAACCTGAGGTCTAAGTGAGTCCTAATGCCCCAGTAAAAGTGAAGGGGACACTACACTGTCAGTGGGCGCCGTCTTTCGGATGAGACATTAAACCGAGGTCCTGACTCTCTGTGGTCATTAAAAATCCCATGACACTTCTCGTGAAAGAGTAGGGGTGTAACCCCGGTGTCCTGGCCAAAGTCCCTCTATCGGCCAATACGATCATGGCCTCCCAATCATCCCCGTCCACTGAATTGGCTCTATCACTGTCTCTCCACTCCACCAATAGCTGGTGTGTGGTGAGCGCACTGGCGCCGTTGTCCTGTGGCAGCCGTTGCATCATCCAAGTGGATGCTGCACACTGGTGGTGGTGTGGAGAGACCCCCTCATGATTGTGAAGCGCTTTGGGTGTATGGCCATACACAATAAATGCGCTATATAAATACACATTACATTACATTACATTACATCACATTACTTAATTATAATCCGCTGAGACAACACAATTCTTGAGTTTTTCAATTTCATAGAATTTGAAATAGAATAATATTTCAAATAGAAATAGAATAGAATTTAATGCAGTGCTTCTTGTCAGATCTGAGACCCACTTCATATCACGTAACTAACAGGCAGTGAAAATCGCAGATTTTTAAAGAAATCAGATCTTAAATGTGACAATTTTGTAATAGAAAGCCCTTGAGCTGCCTGGCTGAAAATTAAATATCCATGTGCATATAGCCATAAACCATTTAAAGGATAGACCATCCAAAAATTATACCCTCAAACCTGTATGAGATTCTTTTGTTGATCTCTAACAAAAAGATGCTTTGAAGAATGTTCATGAATAAACATTGTTAATGGTATAGGTATTGACTTGTGTTGTAGGAACAAAACATGCTTTGGTTAGCTGTATATATGGTCACCAATATTCTTTCAAAGATCTTTTGTGTTCAGCAGATGAAAGAAACTCATACAAGTTTGGACAAGGTCAGTAAATGATGACAGAATTTCAGTTGTTGTTTTTTTCTTTGGTGATCTGTCCCTTTAAGTGCAGACAAATTGACAGCCCAGGGTTTGGTCTGTCCAAATTAATTTGCATATAAACGGCTGCAACATTCACATGTGTTTGGATTTCAGGAATTCAAAAACAGACGCTTCTTAAACCCATATGCATTTTGTTTGGTCAGGAGGCAGTTTGAAAAATTGTAAATAGGTCAACAAAAATAATATAAAAGTAATTAAAGTAGATGCAAAATATACTGATATCAGTTAGCAGTCAGTATGAGTGATTTTTCAAATAGGTCTATATCAAATGTCTATATTAAAAAAGCGGGCTGCTTTATGTCAGTTTAACAAAATATAAGTTCAATGTTAATTTAATTCAACTTAAAATGTAAGGCAAGCAGTACTTTTAACAGTGTACTCATGCACATGTCCCCATGTTTACATTTAGATTATTCATTCATTTATTCATTCATTCATTCATTTTCTATTCAGCTTACTCCCTTTATTAATCAGGGATCTCCACAGTGGAATGAACCGCCAACTTATCCAGCATATGTTTTACTCAGCGGATGCCCTTCCAGCTGGATTCCCCGGATTAATAAAAGGACGAAAAGAAAATGAATTAATGAGGAAATGATTTGGGTTGTTATAACCCAAATTCGGTCAAATGCGTGCATTGTTTGTTTGTTTGCTTCAAATTTTGGTTGTAACATGCATTTTTAGAGTGTAATATCTTAATATTGTGTTTTTTAAGTATATTTTTGTTACACTATAATTTGATGTTCCTCCTTAGACTATCTGTTAACTAACTACAACTACTGTATATCTTAACTATAGCAGTGTTAGAATATCAGTGATATAGATGTTATGTTATGGTTAGGGTCAGTATAAGTTCACATGCATTAACAAAGTTACTTACATTCAGTTGAAAATCTGTTTAAGGGGCAATCAAAACAACGTTTACCAAATTTAATCAACTCTATTTATGTTGTGTTTTGCAAACATTCGAACAGACCTCCAAGCGGGGTTCATATGGAAAACCTGGAAAAGTCATGGAATTTTGACATGGCATTTCATACAGGCCTGGAAAAGTTTTGGAAAAACAGAAAAACCCACACAATTTTGGAAAGGTCATGGAAAACAGATATCGGTATACTTGAATATAGTTTAATTACTTCTTTTCTGTCCTTGGCCAATCGCATACTCTCACATTATTAGTGCGGTGTAAGCATCTAAATCAATTTTACATAGATATAAATATAAATTGAACCTAAATAGATTGTTGCTTGTTGTACGATATGCTGTAATAATTTGGCGCATGCATTGTTTTTCTTTTACCATGCATATGTAGACATTGCATGAAACATTAGGTCATAAAAATTTATTTGAAAGTCTTGGATAAATCATGGAAAAGTCATGAAATTTTAGTAGAAGAAAATGTGTATGAAGCCTGTCCAAGTATAAGTGCTCCACTTGGACTTGCAGTAACTTCACCTTTATCATTTAGTTTTAATTTCCAATGAATAATTCAATCATTCTTATTATTTTTACACCTCCACAAATTGAAATACTAACTCTACTTTCTTCTCCAGCACATCTGGAGGTCGCTTTTTCAGATATTGCATGTCTTACTCTAGGCTTCTCCATCAAGATTACCATCACACAATAGGCAGTTAAAGTGAGAAACGTCTGTCCCTGTGGGTACTGAGTAAGCCATCCAGTTTTTCTTCAGTTGTGTTTACAAACGGCTGCCGCTCTGTAAATCAGCCCAAGTCTCAGCACACGTGGCAGACAAACAGAGCACATGTTCTTACCTGTTCCACTGATTCCTTATTTATCTTCTCATCACTTCTTCTGCCTAGGGACAGCAGTGGATTATCATGTGTGGAGCTGTCAGCAGTCCTCCTGATGGAGTAATGTCCTCTGTTAAAAGCAGAGCTGAACACACAGGTGAGCTCCTCCTCGGTGTCTCTCGTCCACTCTCACCTGCCTCTGTTTCTCCACTCTCTTTCAGCACTGGCTGTGGAAATGACACTGATAGGCAGGAACAATAACACGGCCTTGAGGGAGTGCCAGAGATGAGGGGGGAGGCGGAGGGTTGAGATGAAGAACAGCATATTCACAATATAACATTTCCATTCTTTTCATCTGCCCATCCTCCTTTTTTCTCTGTCTTTCAGCAGTCATTGACAAGCATGTTATAGTCCCTAAGGAAGTGCACTTTTTTGTGTTCAAACTTTCAGGAATACAAAAACTTGTTTGAAACTGAACATTGCAAGCAAGCAATGTTTGGGTTAACACTAATTAGTCATTTGTTTCTTTATTTCCAAAATTAAAGTGAGGTGGATAATGTCCATCGGGTACTAAAGTGAGGGAACAGAGCAAATCAAATTGTAAATATAAAATGTACAAGTATGGGGAACAATTTCTTAATTCAAGGGCACTTTGTGTGTGTGTATATATATATATATCCACTGCAAACGTTATAACTACAGTTTTATGTGTTTTTCCATTATTTTACAGTTATGTATGAGCCAATCTCTGCTCTGTGGATTTTGCTTTTGGACATTTATTTAATAAAGCACTTTAATGGAGTATATGCACACCAACTTTTCATTTCAGTCAGCCAGCCCCAGGGCTTCCTGTGAATTGTCATCGCATACAAAATCGCCACATTTAAGATCTGATTTCTTTGAAGAAATATTCACTGGCTGGCTGAGATATGATATAAAGTGGGTATCAGACCAAACAAGAAGCACTGCATTCAATTGCATGTTTTTCCACGGCATGTCTTTAAAATATGGAAATTAATTTTACCCCAGTATTTTCAATTAAGTTTATACGCTAGGCTCTTGCTAATGACGGCGGTCTATCTTCTCTTTTATATAAAGTCTGTTGAAAAAATATAGAAATAAATCCATAAAATAACAGAAAAAGCACGTTATTGGTTTTTTGTAAAGTACTTTACTTTAAAAAAAGTATTTACTTTGTTACTTTATTAGTTGACTAAGTAGTTTTTTGTTCTTTAATTTGACACCAATACAGAAATATGCTACTTCAAAGTAGGCCTGCATGATTTTGGAACAATATGATATTTTATTTTTCTGTGATAAATATTGTGATATGAATACAGTTTCAGAAAATAGTTTGAATAGCTCTATTTGACGAGTAGTCTAACAGTATTCAGATACAGAAATTGAATAATCACAATGCAAAACAAAATGCTTTTCTTTGTTTTGAATTGAATCAAATTTTATTTGACAGGTTTTAGACAAACTGTACAAAAACATACGTATCCCATATATTTTGAGATACAGTGATCAGCATAACTGAGTACAGATCATTTTTAAAAAAAAATTATATTTTATCCATTTCTCAGTGAATATAGGCAATCTCTTTTGGTGCATTTAAAAACAGATTTATTAAACAGATATATTTATTAAAATAATATTTTAATCACCAGACATATTTAGAAATAGAAAGATAATACAATTAAATTCATTAAATTTGGATGTACTTGTTTTTGGACCAGTATGTTAGATTATTTTGTTAGATTTGGCTTCAGTACTGAACAATCTAATGTTTATGCACAAATATAAAATTGTATTGCTTTGTATTAAAAATCTAAATTCAAAAGAGAGATTTGTGAGGGGTGTACTTATATATACTGAGCAATGTGAAACCGTCAAGGATAAAAACACAATAAAGGCCTGGGCTTGTTTCCATTGTGGTCCTTGCTGTTAAAAAACAGTATGGCTGCAGTACCTCCACAAACAGGAACAAATTTATTCACTATACAATAACATACAAAAACCATCATCTCCCACCATGCAAACTAACTATCCTCATTAAACAACCTTCTTTTGATCCTCAAGTCTTTTATTTTCTTGATCGATTTTGATCATTTCCCAGTGAAGGGTTGCAGCTGGAAGGGAATCCGCTGCGTAAAACATGTGCTGGATAAGTTGGCGGTTCATTCCGCTGTGGTGACCCCAGATTAATAAAGGGACTAAGCCGAAAGAAAATGAATGAATGAATGATTTTGGTCATTTGTTTCACATGATTGTACTTGTATATAAAACATTATTTTCCTCACTACACTTCTAAATTTAAATAAACAAACATTAAAAATCCCAACCCCTAGTGCTATATGAATGCTGTTGCCTCACCATTTGAAAAAAGTTCACCAAATAACTAGAAACCACTTTATTAAACATTTTACGTATCATACCCACTTAAAAAAAAAAAAAAAACATACTCTTTTATTTTTGTCTTGTTTCTAGTCCAAATATCAATCAAATTCTTAAACCAAGTAAAAATTTTGTTTAGTTTTCACCATTAGAAAAAAAATTAAAAATTGCAATTACAATTCTGTAGCTCCTGGTCAACTATAATTCAGACTGGACATTGCATATCTTTGCAATGTGACTATTGCAGATGTGCACTTTGATGCTGATGCGATCAAAAAAGATTTTAAAAATGTGAAGAAAAGTCACTTTCAGCATCAAAAGAAAAGATCAAGGTCCCATAATGCAATTAAAAAAAACATAAATAAATGAGAAAACATTGAACCACAAAAACTACTAATTTACAGATATTACGTAGACCATGTGTGTGTGTGTGTGTGTGTGTGTGTGTGTGTGTGTGTGTGTGTGTGTGTGTGTGTGTGTGTGTGTGTGTGTGTGTACAACCTCATTATAATGACTTAATCTTATAAAGTTTTCTTTATTTGAAATGATTACTTGTGAGATTGTAATTGTAGCATTAACTAAACAGAGAAGGATAGAGTATTATTGACTTTTACAGTCATCCGCCACTGCACTTTTGCCAATATTGTGTTAAGGAAGTGATGTAAAAATTGATAATACATTGTTAAATGTAATTCTTTGGGTAAATCTCTTTTTATGACATTATGAGAAGCTGGAAATTGTCACAAAAATTCCTGCAACTTCTACTGGTTAAAGAGTAACTCCAAAACAAAGCAAAAATCAAATGTTAAGTTTATATTTTTACCACACAATAATCTACAATATCCACAATCAGGAAGCATTTGCAGGAAGTTAATAGAAAATGAGATGAAAATAATCAAATATAGACCAAAGATCTCTAAAAGAGCAAGCAATGCATCATCATTGTATACCGCAAGTCGATCTGTTGAGGAAGTAAACAGACAAAGCCAACAGAGTACTCGGAGTGAGCCAAATTGATGGTAATCTGCTCATCTACTATAACCTAATCCCCAATAGTCAATATGAAGTCGTGCACTCTGAGCTGCTTGTCATTCCTCTGCAGTTCATTCGGCAGGAATGTGGGGAATTTGTGGCCGATACTTGGCTCAACGTCTCACATGATCACACAACAATGTCTGCCCAATTACCTGTGAAACACTGATGGGGCTAAATAAAGGCTGTTCTGACTCCAGATCTGACTCCAGATCAGAACCCTTTTAACGGGAGAAAATCATTCTTTCACTGGAGTATTTGTACTAGTAAGATCACACCACTGAAACTAGCCCTCCAAAAGGTTTTAAATTCATGTCTTTGAAGGGGATTTTTAGTCGTTTGTTCAATTCTTAATTATATTTATTAAAACAAAAAAAAAGTTATTGTTCCTAAATAATGTGTATAAAAAAACTAATTCCATATATTAAAAACATGTATAACGGCTTGTATGTACACTCACCGGCCACTTTATTAAGTACACCTTACTAGAACTGTGTAGAACCCGCTTTTCCTTTCAGAACCACCTTAATCCTTCGTGGCATAGATTCAACAAGGTACTTGAAATATTCCTCAGAGATTTTGGTCCATATTGACATGAAAACATCACATAGTTGCTACAGATTTGTCGGCTGCACATCCATGATGACAATCTCCCATTCCACCACATCCCAAAGATGCTCTATTGGATTGAGTTCTGGTGACTGTGGAGGCCATTTGTGTACAGTGAACTCATTGTCATGTTCAAGTAACTAGTCTGAGATGATTTGCGCTTTATGATATGGCGCGTTATCGTGCTGGAAGTAGCCATCAGAAGATGGGTACACTCTGGTCCTAAAGGAATGGACATGGTCAGCAACAATACCCAGGTTGTGTGGTGTCAATTGGAACTAATGGTCCCAAAGTGTGCCAAGAAAATATCCCCCACACCATTACACCACCACCACCAGCCTGAACCATTGATACAAGGCAGGATGGATCCATGCTTTCATGTTGTTGAAACCAAATTCTGACCCTACCATCCAAATGTCACAGCAGAAATCGAGACTCATCAGACCAGGCAACATTTTACAAATCTTCTATTGTGCAATTTTGGTGAGCCTGTGTGAATTGTAGTCTCAGTTTCCTGTTCTTGGCTGACAGGAGTGGCACCTGGTGTGATCTTCTGCTGCTGCTTCCCATCTGCTTCAAGGTTGGATGTATTGTGCTTTCAGAGATGCTCTTCTGCATACTTTGAGTAGTTATTGGGGTTACTGTTGCCTTTCTATAAACTGAAACCAGTCTGGCTTTTCTCCTCTGACCTCTGGCATCAACAAGACATTGTGCCCACAGAACTGCCGCTTACTGGATATTTAATTTTTTTTTCTTGTTCGTGTCATTCTCAATTTCTAAAAAACTCAGACCAGCTGGCACCAACAACCATTTAACGTTCAAAATCACTTAAATCCCCTTTCTTCCCCATTCTGATGCTCAGTTTGAACTGCAGCTAGACCATGTCTACATGCCTGAATGCAGTGAGTTGCTGCCATGTGGCAAATTAGAAATTTGCATTAACCAGCAGTCGGACAAGTGTACCTAATAAAGTGGCTGGTGAGTGTATATTACATATAATGACATTTTAGTGGCTGTTTCCTGGAATGTGTTAAAAATGCCAGTTTTTAGTTTGTTGTTGTTTGCTCAGAAAAGGAATTTTACAAAACAATCTGTCTTACAAGGGGAAATTAAATTTAGAACATTTTTAATTTCTTTTAATAGTACATTAAAAAGCATTCAGCAAAACCCCTTATACTAATGAGGAGAAAATATCCTCTCCCAGTGACTAGTTTCACAACTATTGACCAAAATTAATTATAATTGTCAAATATTTCCCAGGGGT